CGCCCGATGCCCTGGGGAAGTGGCCGTGGAGGATCCCCAAAAGTGTTACGTACCGATTCGCTAAGAATCGCTCTCAAGTTGGTTTAAAGGGACGACTCGAGGAAGATGGAAGAGTGTTTCGCTACGATATAGAAAGTTCTCGCTCGTGTAGCTCTCGCGTTTCTCTCGCGATATCCAGGAAATTCTGTGGATTTCTCGTGCGTGTTCCGGAGGTGTAGTGCTGTGACCTAGTGTAGTGCCCACCCGAGTGTCCTCTGGATACGATTATCGGCCTTCTCGGATTAGCTGCACCAGCTCCGGTGAGTACTCCAAATTTATTAATTATATAAGAAAAATGTCAAAAATCAAATTTAGGGCCACGTACAGGGAATATCCGGTATTCGAAATTTTACCATCGGCGGGCTGTATCGCGCAAACGGTTGGATCTATGGCTTTCTCGTTGAAATTTTTAAAGATCTCTCAATGCAGAAACTCAGAATGGTCCATAGAAGAGGCTGGCACAGATCGAATATCCATAGGGCCACGTACAAGGAATATCCGGTCTTCGAAATTTTACCATCGGCGGGCTGTATCGCGCAAACGGTTGGATCTATGGCTTTCTCGTTGAAATTTTTAAAGATCTCTCAATGCAGAAACTCAGAATGGTCCATAGAAGAGGCTGGCACAGATCGAATATCCATAGGGCCACGTACAAGGAATATCCGGTCTTCGAAATTTCACCTTCGGCGGGCTGTTTCGCGCAAATGGTTGGATCTATGGCTTTCTCGTTGTAATTTTTAAAGATCCCGTAGTGCTGAGACTCAGAATGGTCCATATAAGAGGCTGGCACAGATCGAATTGCCATGGGGCCACGTAAAAGGAATATCCGGTCTTCGAAATTTCACCTTCGGCGGGCTGTATCTCGAAACGGTTGGATCTATGGCTTTCTCGTTGAAATTTTTTAATATCTCTTGACGCAGAAACTCAGGATGGTCCATAGAAGAGGCTGGCACTGATCAAATTGCGATAGGGCCTCTTTCAAAAAATCTCTGTACTTTTTTGTGCTTGCAGTTTGTTTTTGGTTTTTTATTTCTCAAGCAAAAAGCCCTAAGCCGCTAGCCCTTTCCGAGATAAAGCTTATTTTCATGTTATACTCGAAATTATTTTATCAGAAAAATTTCACTGGTTTAATCAGAAATGGCGCCACTTACCATGCCCAGGAGCTTGTTGCCCTCTTTTGGGCGAAATTTTAAACTTATGCGAATTCTTTATTAAGAATTGATCCATTGAAGTTTCGAAGATACGATTTTGAAATTGCATCCGAAATCATTGTATTTTAGAAGGTAGAATTAATAAAGGAAAAGCGAAGTCAGGATACGGGTAATATGGTAGAGATGGAATGGGAATAATGGTAGGTAAAGTGGAGCATAGTTGAAAAGGGTTATCATAGTATAATTGTGGAGGAGTAGGAGAAGGATGCAGTTAGAAGATAGAAGGGTAAGAGAGAGACAGAACTCATTCGTACTCTGGGATATTCGCCGGGGGTAAAAGAATATCAACGTGTATAAGTGTTACAAGATAATTTACTCGACAAATGCAATAATGATACAGTATACGACATTACTTTCAAAAAATTCCTGTTCTTGAATTTTGAAAATACTCGAAATTACACCTTCGAAATGCTGTATCTCCAAGACGGTTGCAATATCAGGAATTGAACAGCCCTATTTTCCCCTTCCTGTATCTGTGTCGCTGTGAGAGGTCGATTGGAGTTTTGAGGAATTCTAGAATGTGAGTTCTCTCAGATACTATTATGCACATCCATGGTGCGCTATGCACTCTTATGTGGGGCTCTTGATGTATCCATCATCGAGAAAGGATGATTAGGAAGGAAAAAGGATAGAGGATAGAAGGGTATAAGAGTGGAACGTTACAATATATACATATGTGTTGTGACGTGATTTTTCGAATCACGGTCCCAAGGCGGCTCCGGTTACCGATACAGATAAGGTTCTCGATTTCTGGTTCCCTTCGGGTCGCCACCCTGCTCAGAAGCTACGCTCTCGGGTTGATTCGTACAGTTATGTCAAGGCTCTCGTAAGATTGTGTCAGTGTTTAGTTGAGGTCGAGGTGCTTGAATCTGCCGTGGGGAGATAGTCTCGACGTACCGAGTTGCCCGGCAGAGGAGACGACACGACGGAGACGTCTCCACGGACCGGCAGAAGCCCCGGTGAGATACCGGCGCCCCGCTGGAGATGGGCAAAGGGCTGTAGAGCGGGCGGAGGAAGTTTTGATATGGTTAAGGGCAGGAGAGGAACCTCCTGCCCGAGTTAAGGATGTGGTGCCCAGCTGTCGCCCGATGCCCTGGGGAAGCGGCCGTGGAGGATCTCCAAAGATTATGTACCGATTCGCTAAGGAACGCTCTCGATTTGGTTTAAAGGGACGACTCGAAGGAGATAGAAGAGTTATCGGGAATAAGGCTCTGTGTATATATGATATACAATATATATATATATCAATCATTTTAATCGTTACGTTTGACAAATCGTGTGCAAGTACATCCTGGTCGTCGGCAAAGACAATGTAAACTTAGAGACAAAAGCCGTCGCATTCTGGTAGAATGAGCGTATCCTCCTATAAACTCTCGCGGTGGAAATAAATTATCCGACAGGGTAAATACAGAAATTGCTTTGGATCCTACGATTAAAGGTTGCCTGCTAAATAACAGGTGACCACGAACATCTTCGTACTCTTGATGAGTATTGTAACTCATATCTTCGAGTTCTTCGAATTCAGAATCCTCGACTTTTCCTGGTTGCATCTTAAAAAAATGTTGCCTCGCATAGGATATCACGCCTATACTAAACGCATACATTAACTCAGCTGCACTCAGCAAGGATCCACCCAAGAAAAGCCCTATGATTCCGCCAAAAGACACTGAAAGCATAATACAATGTTTTCGTCAATAATTAATAATACGTCGGAGACCTTTGCACGGGTATTACCGATCGTCGTTAAAACGTCGTTAGCAGATATTAAGCGTCGGTTAATTTTACGTGCGACTCACAGAACCGTCGGACCCACCTAACAAATCGAGATTCGTGTAAATGACGTCAGTTTTATAACGCACGGTGGTAGATCCCTCAAAAAATATATCCATCGTAATTTCATCCTCTTCGGCTACCGGCGTACTAGCAATCCGCATGGTGTACATGTAATATTCGCACTCGGGTGGGCAGTCACAGCTCATTGAGGAATTCTCATTGAAATCTCCACCTTCGATTTCATTAAAATTATTGAATACGTCTGAAAAATATAAGAAACTATAAATGGCAAAAGTGTTGATCCTTAACGAGTTATACTGCGCTCTAATATACGCGGACGCGCATGATCAAGTAAAATAAAGATTAGTACCGTTCCACTGGACGAGGCAATCGATATCGTCGAAAGTGCAATCACGAGCCACGCCGGATGGAAAGAAGAAGGACGGATTGCAGCCGCAATACTTTATCACGTGCTCGCGTCTGCAGTCCGCGTAACAGCTCTCCTGATAATAAGCCTTATTCTCAATATACTTGCAAGGTATCTTATCGGCGTCCAATTGCAAAACCCTTTCGGTGGCATAGCCAGAGGTACACTGCACCTGGACTTGAAGAGAATGGCCTGTCGTAACGAGAAGGCCAGTCCTTGGCCACGCACCCGGATGAGTAACGCCTGTTATTATTCCGTATGGGCTATCTGTGAAGGAATCAAAAGAAAAATAAATTAGTCGCGCGTTATTCCCCGTGAATTTCACTATATTAAATGTCAAACGTATAACGCCACAGAATTACAAAAATCCGGTGGTGGCTGAATCACTTTCGGACGAATGGTCACTCTGAGTCCAGTCCATTCGCCGTAATCCGTCGCAACGAGTGGGGGCTCATTCTGGTCTTCCAGATATTCTGACGTTTTAGAATTGAACGAGTAACAAAATCCGTACTCGGTTCTTTGCAGCCTTAACAGCTCGCAACAATTTCGGTCTCCGTACCTCCACCAACAATTTGAAAACAAATCTTCGCAACTGGGAACGACCGCTTCGAGGATCGCGGTGATGCTGCGTTCTGCAAGTGTATGCGTGTACAACACGAGTCTCCAAAAATATTACAAAGTTATTCACTTACAGTCGAATGCACTTGAGCAATTTAGATGTAATTATATTATACAAGATTACAGATTACCTGATGCGTACCTGACGATAACCTGACGATATCTAACGAATAATAATAATAAGTATCCAACATATTCTATTAGAGCGAAATACCGGATAGAACGCCAAAGGTTAAGTTGCGGGTAACATTCAGTTGATGAAAGTCTCCAAAGGTCAAGTTCGAGAAGACTGCGAGAACCAGGAGATAACTCTCGCGTTCGACAGTGGCAGTCTCGCTACTGTTATCGTTGATCATCCCATTGCCGCCAAAGATCGTTGTCTCGAGATCCAGAACCTTTCTCCAATCGACTCGATCGTTCGGACATATCGTTACGCTCGGAAAGGGTACCGCCGAGATCCTGTGCGTCGCGGATTCGATCACCGTCGAAGTTGGAGCGGCCTAACGTTAAATATCAATATCAGTCGTCCAACGACTACTACTATCTTCGACTATCCTACGTTTGGACGTCGTCCATTCTGTGGGATGGCGCACCTCGAATCGTGCGGCCAGCATACAGATTACGTGAGTTGCGTAATATGACGAAAGGACAAATAACACCAACCAAACGAAACGCTCGAACCGATGCAACTGAGGATCCACGATGTATCGCAAACCATGCAGGCTGCTTCTGTTGCAGTACTGCACGAGGAACTTTGAGAAATTTCGAGCAAATCGTTTCGTTTCTCTGGTTGCGTGTTTCTTCTTTCCCGCCCTCTGCTGGGCACCACCCCCCGACACCGCTGCTGCTGCTGCTGCTGCTGATAACGCAGCTGCAGCTCTGGTTCGTCGCCAGCTCCCTATCTTTGTCTTTACTTGTATCGTTGGTCTGCACAGCCTCCTGCCACCGCGTACTCCCTTCGCTCTCGTATCCAAAGACATTCGCTGATTCGAAGCAAATGTCACGCTAACCTGCCTCTCCGTTATTTAGTACTTTGATGAGCTTCGATTGTCACCTCAAGTCCGAAGAGACCTCTGCTGACTCTCTGCTATCGGGAATCGATGGCATATTTATACGCTTCGTTCGAACTCGGCACTCTAGACAACGTCAAACAACAGAATTAACAAAAAAGAAAAAAACAAACAGCATCTACCTATAGCAAGCAGCCCACTATTATTTAACGCGATCGTCGTATCGTATCGCTCCCAATGATCACGGCAACTTTCGATAATACGATAATACGATAAAACTACTGTACAGAGTACCAACTGCGTGTCGCTGCCATGTGCCGAGTTCATGATTTTGATGAACGATACACAATACCTATGGAAAAAGGGAGACAGTGTACATACAATGTAACTAACAGATTGTCAAAGTGACGAACAAGCAAAAATGCCGAGGTACACAAACGAGCGCACATGCAAATAAGGAAATGACGCAATCTGTATTATCGCCGCCGAACTATAATGTTTCTCAGTCCTTCTTTACATGAGTTTAGAACATGTTAGAGCTTCATTTAAACGACAATGTATATTTCCCATGTAAAACTTACCTACTCACCGTATGGATTGTGACGTAATTTTTCAATTCACGGTCGCAAGACAATTAATTATAATGGGGCGATTCGGGCTTTGCTATAACATATATTATATTAAATATTAAATTAGATTAGAAAATCTATAGTGAAAGATAGAGAAACTTCAACGAATCAACGAATACAACGTAGACAAAAATCGAGACCGCTATGATGAAAAATATTCAGAATTGTGGCTTCTAACAATATATTTTTTGTATAACTACTCGATACAATGGAACAACACATTCTCACTATATCGAAATCCTTAAAAAAAGAGTATCCTCGTAATCTTAGGACCATTACACTACATCTGTATGGTATACGTGACTATTCGTGACTCTTTACAATATCGAATGTCCCATTTTACATGTCTGAGGCTTATGTGCTATCCCAATTAATGGAATCGAAAAAGACTGACATTTCCATTTTCGCTGTACCTTTTTTTCGAGTCCACGTGTTTAAAAAGGAGCGATCCACCGACTCGTAAAGTCATGGGTTAGCGTGTACACCACCACGAAAACGCAAACTATCTATGGTGTGCAGAAAGAGCGCTAAGCAAACACACTTGTCGCGATTTTACTCACCGCTTATATCGCTCAGTACCTTCGTATCAATAAGGGCTCAAAGTATTAAATCACTATTGCACCTTACGCAATGCACGATTCAACTTGATACAAGTGTCGCGAATTGTATCCATAAATAATTATTACACGCTAGGCCAAACGCGAGCGATGTCGCAACATACCACGACCATGTCCAATGAGGTCCTTCGAATACTCGATTCGATGACTCTTGATGGAAAAGTCAAAAAGTCATACGGAGGAGGAAGGAAGGAGTCGTTACGCTTGGATGCGCGCGGACGCTACGTACAATCATCAGACGTCCATTGCGTCTCCGACGTATCCCTCGTCAGGGCTTTCGGTATGCTCCGCAGCAACGACGTCTCCGTTAAGTCTTAGAGCTGCACTAACTACGGGACCGATTGTCGACACGGATGTCAATGTTGAAGTCCCAGATGCTGATCCAGAAGCAGACGCAGTGGTCATTGTTATCGGGGCTGCCTCGGTGACGCTAGAGTTTCCGCTTTTGTCGAGAAAGGAACGTGGTGATGCAGGACTTGATTCTCCACGATAAGCTGCTGGAGGCGATGGTATGAACGCCGAGGGTTCAGGGGTAGCCATAGTGATCTTTGTGTTCGTCGTGCTGCTCGTATTTACCGGGGCAACTTGGAGTTTCAGAGATGATTCTTGATATCGAAACTGATGTTGCTGATAGGTATAATTATTGTGATGCTGTTGATGGTGATGGTGATGATGAAACTTCAGACCTTGTCGAGGATACTGAACTGGATGTGTCGCCGAATAGGGATAACCCTCGGCGGTGTATCTAGCGTCCGGGCGCGGCACGCAAACTGCGTATGGTGGCGACCTAGCGAGAAACTCAGCCTCGCGGCAATAGCGATCAACTGGGACAGCCGCCATTCCTTCGAGGGATGTACGCTGTCGTGGTCGAGGCAGTGTACTGACGTTGTTGAACGGCGGGACCTTTGGCAGGCCGAAATTCAAAGGATAGCCATCTTGGTCGAGACAGCTCATATGTGGATGTGGACGAAGATGAGGATGGGGGTGCAAGTGCTGCAAATGACTGGAACGTAACTCAGGCTGTACTGTGAATGGCGGTGTTGAGCGTGCCGACTCGTAACCGTCAAGAACGGAACAAGCGTCGGCAAGCTGCTGCCGATATGCGGCTGCCTCGTACCCGCCGTCGTTCGACTCCGTCACCTCGTTTATCAGGTCGGGCTCCGTCGAGTACTTGGATGCAGATACATCCCCGTATGTTGCTTCAAATGAGTCCCGTCTTGAATCGAGCAGGTTGACCCTCGGATATGCCACGTGTAACGTCTGATTGTTCATTGGTTTGCGCGATCTCTCCGTCGTATTAACTTGATGCTGTTGATCCTGTTGGTGCTCTTCTTCTTGTTGTTGCTGCTGCCGCTGCTGCTGCTGCTGCTGCTGCTGCTGCTGCTGCTGTTGTTGTTGTTGATGATGATGATGATGATGATAATGATGATGATGCTCTTTTTGCTCTACCTGATGTTGCTGATGTAGATGATTGCGCTGATCAAATAAATTCATACTCTTTTTTCTTTCCTTCACAATAGGCGCGATGACCTTGCTTTGAGAAACGAGAGGCTTACTGGCATTTCTCTTGCAATCTCGACGTCGCTTAGTGCAAAGAAAAACACCTCCAACGATACAGCCAAGAGCCAGTAGGGTTCCTACGAGAGCACCCGCAGCGACCGCCGCGACGTACCCGGTGCTCGGTTGATCGAGAGGCGGCTCGATCGTCACCTTCTCGCGCAGAAGTACGCGCAACGAGAGATTCGCTTCAACGATGCCTGCAGCATTGTCGGCCACGCAACTGTACGTCCCCTCGTCGGTTGGTTCGAGGGTTTGTACGAGAAGAGTGCTCGTCGCATTCTCGATCCCACGCTGCCGATGGACGTACCTGGGAAACATCGTAAAAGACGAACATCCTTAAATCCCATAAAATGTCTTTAGATGGAAAATGAAAACGTATCTTGTGAAAGATAGACTGAGGTGCATGACGAATGATCAATATTATTCATACACACCTCTGAAAAGACGTAGTAGAAGATGTCGCAGAGCCTGGAAGCGAGTAATTCTCGATACGCGGCTCGCAAGGTTCCCCGTTGAAGAGCCAAGTGATGCGGGCGGCAGGTATCGCTGCTACGTTACAGTGAATGCTGAGATTGCTCGCTTCGTAAGCCTCGAGATGCTCCTTCAGTGTTATTTGCGGAAGACACGCCAGCTCCCCGAACTTGACCGATTTAATTTGTCGACCATGAAGTCGTCCGGGCGAATGGCAAATGGGTTCCGTCTCCTGGGGCACGTTGGCCAGTGATTCCTTGAGCCATACGTGTAAAGGTCGAAGCCGGCAATCACAGAACCAGGTATTGTTATGTAGACTCAGGCCGTGAAGGTTCCCACCGAGGGGCAGGGTACCTTCTGGCACCCGCTCAAGAATGTTACCATCGAGGCGCAGCCATTCGAGCGAGTGCAAACCTGCGAAGGCTCCGCTCTCAATCAACTCCAGCTGGCAGTGACTCAGCTCGAGGTTGGTTAGGTGGCCGAGTGGAGCGAATGCATCGCGCGCGATTGTTCGTATCGGGTTGTCATTTAGAATCAAGCGCATTAGGCCTGGATACGAGGTGAATGTTTCGGATGGCACGGCATGAATGAGATTACCCGACAGATCAAGCTCCACGAGGCCTACCAACCCTAGGAACGCACGTTCCGAAATTTTACTTATCTTCGATCTTCCCAAGTAAAGCTTTTGAAGGTTCGTTAGCCCGAGAACGAGAAAACTCTCGGACGTCAGCTCGAATAGCTGATTCTCCGAGAGATCAAGAACCTGTGTCTCCTCTCGGGCGCCCTGGGGCACGGTCTTCAGTTTCCTATTCGCGCACTCTACCCATTCCTTACCACTTTTCCATTTGCATGCGCACATGCTCGGACAACCCTCAGCGACTCGGAGCATCGCCAATATTCCAATCATTCCCACCATTTGAACTACCGTAAACCACGACATCATCCTTCGACTCCTAAACCACCAACACCACCACCATCGGCGCCTTCGCCGCGGTGCCGCCGCCCTACCGCCTAAGCACATTCCTTCGAGAGCTCGTAATCATTTCTTTTTCAACTACTTCCAGTCCACGCCTTTCTTCCATCTATTGTCTTTTACAGTACTTTCCTTTTTCATGTCGCTTCCTAAAAACAAAGGTAAAAACCTTCATTCTCAACTCTCACGTTCTTTATCCCCACACGGCTCGCCTTCGCCTTCGTCATCTTTCTTCTTCTTCTTCTCCTCCTCCTCCTCCTTCTCCTCCACCTTTCACTTTTCTTCTCTCACTATGATCGCTCAATCTTAATAATCGTCCTTTCCCTCGTGTTCCCTGGCGGCAATCTCCATCGATCTGTCTCTACATCTATATGTTCGTCTGATCGCCCTTACAGCTTTCAGTTGATTTCATGAAGTGCAGATAAAGTGCAGAAATCCACCGTCTCAACGGCAAAGTTCTCAACGCGATTCGAATTCGTTGTTTCTTAACGCGTTTAAATTTCCCTTATCGCACCCTCACTTCCTCGCACCATTCTGGTACACGCGTTACCTACATCTATGCTCTCATCGTTCTTTCGCTCGCATTGTCACAATCAACATGCCATCAACGAACGACACTGGCGTCGATTTTTTCAAGCACTTTTCTCGGCTTTTCGCAGAATACACTGGTACAAAGATCAATCGGCCACCCCCCACCGCTGTGTCGACTAATACTGATCGTTGTATACGTATCGACGTTGAGCCCTCCCTGAAAGCAAATATAAACAAAAATTACTTAACAAGAAAATTCAGTAAATTAAGACCGAAACGAATTTACTGCTACCCCGTCATAATACAACTTTATTCATGAGATAATAATAGCACTTTGCTGTGGTATATTCGTTCAATTTAAGCGATATCCTATACGTATTACAATTTCGTCCAGATTATCTCTCACATACTAGATTACCCGAATAGAAAGAAATTACTACTTGCAGAGTATATGAGTGACAAGAGACAAATTCTGAAAATTCCTGTAATGTCTTGAAATTCTGCTGTGCTTGGTAAATAGCATTCTTTTGTTTTTCAAGTTCGAAGAAATAATGATACTGCATTTTCTGGCTACGAGGACGTCAAGGTGAAAGACCGTTTTCTAAGAAGCATTTCATTCATATTGCAAAAGGCCTCTATGAATAGAAAGGGACAACTGAGGAGTAGAGAGGTCCATGAATTTTAAATATGTTTCGAAGATGCACTGCGTCATACAAACCGAAAACCCTGAGCGCAATGACAGCTTAACGGACGTAACTCGCAATAATTTGGATTTGCATTGGTTCCGTGATGAGAAAAAAGTTAAAGAGAAAACAAAACTCTTCGAAAAAGATTCTTCTTAGGTCCCTAGATATAGAAATTCCGATATGTGATACGGCATATGTACGATGAAATGATCTCTTTCGTTTCCTCTCTCTCTCTCTCTCTCTCTCTCTCTCTCTCTCTCTCTCTCATTTACTGACGTAACTCGCAATAATTTGGATTTGCATTGGTTCCGTGATGAGAAAAAAGTTAAAGAGAAAACAAAACTCTTCGAAAAAGATTCTTCTTAGGTCCCTAGATATAGAAATTCCGATATGTGATACGGCATATGTACGATGAAATGATCTCTTTCGTTTCCTCTCTCTCTCTCTCTCTCTCTCTCTCTCTCTCTCTCTCTGACTATATCACTTTCCGTCATTTACTGGTGACTGGACGCAATTCTGTTCATCCATTCGCTTGTTCGTGTCACATTAAAAAAAAACTGCACACAAGATAGAATCTGGAACTTTCTTCCGATAGAATTCACCGAACATTTCACTTTATCTATCATCCCTATAAGCTCCAGTATTCTCACGAATAATATCAGTCAAATTTCTACTTTCCATCACGTTCATCACTATTCACGATCATTTTGAAGAGCAACCATGGTTTTCAAGAAAAAAGAAATTGTTGAAGACATATCGGCCAGTAAGAAGAATGAGAAATCACGAGGCTCAACGATATGTCGAACACGATAAATGAAAAGATTGTACTTGTAAACCTTTAAGCATCTTCAAACCAACTTGACTGAATGTAAGATATCGATGCGCATGCTCCAGCTCCAAGAGGAACAATCCCCGCCCGCAGATCGATAATCCGATGGAATCCAACGTTACCAATTGGTAAATGTAATCTCTTGCATTATTATTCCGTCTCTACCTGTAGTCATTCATTCTGCCGTACCCTTAAATCGCTCGATTCTCTACAGATATTTATATGAGGTACCAAAGTCACGAGAGCCAAAGCAAATGAACAAGATATAAATATTGCATGTAACGACCGGCCACTACATTCACATTTTTACGTACCGATACACTTTTCATCGACTCTTAAATTTCCCAACTCCATTTGCAAGTCATAACATAACATAACTCAAAGTTAATATATTGTCTTTGCAGAAATTGTAATAGCGAGACCGCCTTCTTGCCGAGAATTGCTTCGATCCGCTTTCAACTCGGCTACTCGTTGTCTCTCGGTATACCTCGGCCTTTCTCGGCCTTTCTCGGCATTTCTCGGCATTTCTCGGCATTTCTCGGCATTTCTCGGCATCTCTCGGCGTCTCTCGGCGTCTCTCGCAGTCTCTCGAGAACCTTCAGCGGTTCCCAATCTCATTCGACGTCCAATTATCTCAACCACCAACTCACAACTTTGAATTCCATTCTATTTATTTGTAGCTATTTCATCGCCAATATCGCAATACCTTATGTCAACTTATTCAAATGTCAGCTCAACTCACCTCCCTCAAACCACTACGGCGGCATCCCATTTATATATCATCGACTGCCGTAACACCCACGACACCCACCGCCCGCTTTAATCCGCTACCGTCTTCCCTACCGTCGCTTTCTCCGTCGATTATTTCGTCCATCCCTTTAATCCCCTAGTCCCAGACGATTCTTTTCGACACTTGCGACACTCACGGACATCGACCAAGGGTACGTCATGGCACAGCCCGACATGAAGCCTCAAACCTTTCCAATCTTCTCCACGACTATCAACAGTTCTTCCCTATAGATCCGCTACATCCCAAGCAACTCCTCACTGAGACTACTCTTTTTACTTCGTCTGCAGTCTCATCCGTTTTTACCCATTATCGTCTCACAATGTCGGCACACGATATCTCGTACTTGACGGTATACAAAGCATGTATCCTTTAGATGTTTCTGGTAGTTTAAATAAGACGTACGATGTGGCAGGATACAGCATTACTCTTTTGCATAGAACAAGCTCGATGTGTAATATAGAAATGCTCTTTTCGAGAGAAAAAAAAAACCTAATTGAACAAGAGCATTGAAAAAAGCGATCGTGAATGAGGATCAATCGAAATAATTGTTCGTGAACCCAAAAGTAGCGATCGTCAACGTTCGTGCAATATCATCAATCCTAACGTACACCAATTACCAAATTCCGGCGATGCGAGACAATTGGAGCTGCGAAGAAGATCCCTCTTACAATTAGTCGCAATGCATAAGAAACGCACTCGAATGGCATCGAAGTAATCGTGACGACGGAGTTGACCGTGCTGACAAGTAAACGATCGTTCGTTCACGCCAACTCTTTCGCGTGACATTTACCTCCATGTTTACGATAATTTAGTAGAAAAAAGCAGTTGAAAGTTAAAATCGAAGCGATAACGAACACAGACCGGCCAAGCGAATCATAGAAGAATCAAGTCGCGAAATCGACGTTCGCGTAGCGACTGGCACCAGACGCGTCAATCTCCCCCCAGAACCCTCCAGAATGAGGAGGAGGAGGACGACGACGACGACGACGACGACGACGCGGCCGTCGGTAGAGGACGGTCCGCAAGCGTAGCACGGCGCGACGCGTCGCCGCAACTCCCGTAGAATGTAACCTCATCCAGCATCAAACAGACGCACGACCAATTCCGAAGCTCTAAACAATTCCTGAATGATAATCGAACAAAACGACGGATTTAATGATATCCTAACCGTGAAACTTTAACCAAGCTTACTCCCAGGAATTGTGCCGCGGGGTACAATATCGGTTGATGGGCCCCGCGCATGCGCATGGGAGCCTCCTGGATTTCGTCTCGACTTCTGATTTTTCCTAATAAAAACGTTCGTCTTGCCGAGTGGCTTGGCGCGTCTATCTCTCTTTTATCTCTAGAGCTCTTGTCGCTCGAGATACCCTCCTTAATCTGTCTCAGCATCCAGCCCAGCATCAGCATTAGTGCATCGTCAATATTATCATTAACGTGCCCTCGTGTAGAGGCTCGCATCTGTTCTGGCATTGCAATCGAACGGTCATCTTTCCTCGTCGTAACGAACGTCACAAGGCCACGGGCAGGTAAAGAGCCTCCCTACAATGAGCCTCGCAACTTTTGTCGTTGCGGGTTCTCCGATGCGCGTATGAGACTCCCCGTTGACGAATTCGAACTACGAGTGGTGCTGATACAGCCACTTTATCAAAGACCTCTGTCGCTGCTCGTAGATCGCTCTGCCCCTTTCAGTCCCAAGTGGTCCAGACTGTTCCGAAATTTGAGCAACGACGGAAGCGTTGCGCTCTAATGGAAGGAGTAACCGTGCGCCTCAGGACGCGCTCCTCCTCCTACACCCTCGCGCAACATCCATATATTCTATCGCGCCGTCGTCCAGTCAGCTGGATTATCGAGCGCGGTCAATGTTGCCATCCGAAATATGCCTATGACCGATACGATTATTAGCCGCATAGCGTAAAGCGCGATAGAAGCGGCATACCTGTGTGATTATGCAGCGCATAACACAATCATGCAGTTTCCTGAACTAAATCTTATAGCGCATTTTCGAAAGATCACGTGACAATCTACAAGTATGTAGCAAACGCACCGCCACCTGAACGAATCGGGAAGCATTTGACCAAAGCACGAGTTTTCCTCTGTATACCATTTCAAAGATCTCTCCTCTCTCGAGTTTCGTCACCTGCGGCGCATTCGATGTCGCACCGACTCTTAAAACGTTCTTCGATAAGCTCGGTTTGCGTCTTTGCGATTGCGCCCTATACTTTCGTAGTTTCGTACCTTCCTTCTATTCCTTTTAACATCTCTACAGACCTATTTAATTTCTAATACGTTTTATTACAAATGCTTTCTTCGTTTAATTCTCTATATTATCGGGTATTTCAAAAAATTATGACATAATCCTCCTCCTCCAGATTGGTATAGCGCGTGCAATTCATCGGTTGCTGCCGTATAGACTACGAACCCCGAAAAATTCCATCTAAAGATATGTAAGCCACCAACTCCCCCCTGCCCCTGCTGGGCAACTCGATACCTCAAGACACTCTCTCTCTCTCACACACACACTCTCTACTCTCCACTGCAGATTCGAGCATCTCGACCTCAACTAACCAGTATTCAATCTTCGGAGAGAGCATTGCCCTAACTACACGAATCGACCCGGAAGAGGGTAGCTCCTGAACTGGATGGCGACTCGAAGGGAACCAGAATAGCGAGACCGTTATTCGATTCGGTAGCCGTAGTCGCCCTGTGATGGTGAATCAAAATATCTTCTCACAAAATATACATACACGATACGACAGATTTAAATCGTTTCCGAGTAGAGTAGATAAAGTTTTGGAGATTGCAACAAATTTATTCAACAACTCTTACATGAAAACAAAAGAAAACGACAGACGAATATAGGTAAAAAATCGATAGAGAGAACTTGACGTGATCTCGGAGGAGAGCCAATAAAAAAGAGGGAGCGTGCCATCGCATCTATTCTCATTTACAGCTTGATTCCAACCTTCTGTGCCTCTCCCTCGAACTTGATCTTGTATTGGCCGCTTGGATCATACTTCTTAGCAAGTTTCTCCCAAATCTGGGGACGCTGTAACACGTAAGAAGTCTCGTTTGATTTCTTTCTCCGAAGCGTCATTCTTGGATCGACGTGGTCACAGTCGATAAGGCTGCTCGAGTTTAGACAAAATACAATAAGGAAGCATAAGGGGCGGAAAGGAAAAGGAACAAGACGTAACGTACCTTGTTTACCAGAAAACGAATCACCTTCTCACTGCCATCCCTCTGCTTGGCGCTGCACTTGCTGCAATCGTTGGCGAGAGCATCGGGCAGAGATTCTGCAAAAAAAAAAAACAAAGTGAAAGAGAAGAATGTGCGATTCTCAAATTGTAGGTCGTTCGCTTGTGCCTTTACTTTTCAGTTCCTTGCCGTCGGGAGTGCAATTTCCAGCTTCCAACAGGCAATTTACGTAGTTGTTAAGAAGACGATCGCTTTTCAAGATCTGATCTAGGTCAATGTTATCATACTTGGTCGTATACTTTTCGGCGGCAATGGCGCATCCTACGAGGACGAGGATGATTACGGCAACCTGAAAGATTAGACGCAGATCCTTTAGTAATCCTTTAGTGATCTATCAGTTCCCCGGGTTAACGGTATACATATTTTCTATTGCAGTTGCCTGGTACACAGGTACCCTGGTATCACGGAACAACATTGCGCAAGGGGACATTTTCTCCGGGCTCGGGGAACAAACACGTTTCGTACGTTTTTCTTGTTTTTACGTTTATTAACGCGACGGCTCACTCATGCGAACAGCAACGAGGATTTTCAATTGGCTCGAGCGAGCGCCGGTTTACCGCCGGCGCACTAATTTCAAATTGCGGACTGTGCGGAAACGTATGGAAGCGCGGTCCAGAGTGTATACGTATACAGAAGTGATGTGTTGGTTGGTGGTAATAAGATCAGCAGCAGCTGAGACCGGTGGAAAGTGTGCGTGTATGTGAGAGAGAGAGAGAGAGAGAGAGAGAGAGAGAGGTGCTTGTGTAAGAGTGAATCGTGTAAAAATACGGAGGTTTTTTTATTACCTTCATGCTTAACGTGTGCTATAGAAGAACGGAGGCAGACAACTGATGCTTACGGCTTGCGCGATCTACGGTTTTATACCTGCCGATGGGCAGTCTCCAAATTCGCTGAACTCTCGCTCATTTCTCACCCGTCGTCTAACCGAAGCATACATACGCTATTTACACTATGCTTTAGCATATTAATGAGATAATAAACATACGCCTGAGACTATTTGCGTCACTCCTACCGTTCTTTACGTTGCGGGACAAATGGACCGCAGAAAAAAGACAAGAAATAATGAAAGCCATCACGGTGCGTGAGCTACGGGCCTGACAGTAGAATTACCGATGAATTAATGACTGAGAATTATCGATTTAAGGAGCATGCACATATTCGTCCGTCACATTTGATGAGATGATAAGTAATCGGTAATCACTCTCGTAATTTGATACCTCGATATTATTCGGCGGCAACGAGTCGTGCCAGATTTTTTCCAACTGAGGACTTGGATCACAGCTATGAATAATTATCAGCGAACGACATCATCTTCCAATGATTCGCACTATAGTGACTGAAAGGTAGTAGAGATGCAATGTTGACGAAAGGAACGTCGTGACGTCATCGCGCCGAGACAACAGGATTTCAACGGAGATCCTTTCCGCTATTCTATGCCGAGAGCATCGAAAATATTTGCAAATACATTAACGATCCTGGCACCATGAAATTATTTTCTATTTGTTGTTGGCCAACAAACAAAAAACAATTTACTTTACGCAATCTATGCTCTCGAAAACTTGTACGATTCAATGATCGGGGTTGCTTTCGATACCTATAAGTTTGTCCTATCGTCCTATTTTGCAGTCCACTGTTCACTTCCGTCTACTCGCTTTTAGCGAGCTGCATTTTGCACTTGCCGAACGAAGCACAGACTGATGACAGAATGAAAATATTTCTTCTACAGGCAATAGTAATAACGAGGAGTTACGCTGTCGCGGCGTGTGTGCCTTTAAACGACCTGCACTTTTATTTCTTCAGAAAATTCATGACAATGCGAATGTGTGTCTTTTGAATGTTGCCTATTTAGTTATCGGGGTCGGACATGAAGTATTCATGAGAGAAAACCAGTTAACGCTGAGCCAACATTATTTATTACTTTTAGTACAAACTGGTCGACCAGCCAAAGACTAATTAGTATACAGAGTCAACGGCGTCCATGGACCGAGAGTGAGTTATATCTGGAAGGCCTAGCGAATAGATTAATAAGATGCTAACTCCTTTTGTGCGACTCACTAAATTTTCATAAGTCTTATCCAAGAATCGAATATTCTTTTTGTCAGAGATGCGGGTTTCATAAAAATATTTGCAGTGTATACTGGAGATAGCGCGCACTCGCTTTCAGTATGATTTCGCATGACAGGCGCAATGTGGAAATGAAACGTTTTCACACGTGCGTGGTTTATCACGCGGAAGCACCCCTTGTACAACATACGTAATAGGTAGTACCCGTGATACTGTATTGCACTTGCAGCTCTTTATCAATAAACTTACTTTTTCCTATTTTTATACTTTGCCGATGAATTTTTTAAGTCAATTTTCTTAAAAATGAAGTCTCGTAAAGAAAACATTTATTCTGCAATTTCGATTTACTTTTCCATTAAGAATCATCTCCTTCTCGGTTCTTCCATGATTTCCGCCCACCCTGAATACATGTATGAAAAATCAAACTCGAGTTATACAGAATAAAAAAATGTATTTCTTTAATGAGAAAACGGTAACAAAAGAGCCATATTAATTTTATATAATGCGCATTAGATTTAATCTACTACATAAGATATTTAATAGGAAAATCAATATCCACAGTAAAAGGCTTAAATAGGATCGATTGCGGCTCGTTCGTAAAAATGTGGTGCCAATTGTTCGAGCCACTCCGGTCGAATGACTGTAAGCTCTCTCATGTATGTCTTATTGGTCTGTAGTATCTCGCAGAAAAGCACCCTGGAATAAAAGAAATAAAAGAAATAAGGGAAATAAGGACTGAAAAGGAATATCGCGTTAACTCGTCCCGTAAAAATATTCTATTAACATACCATTGTGGCTGTGGTACGGTATAGAGGCAGCTATTTGAATGAATATATAGATCCCTACTACCTCTGACTGTTCTGTAAACCCCCGTGTAATGAAGGTACGCGGCGTTTGGAAAAAGACCAGCCGTTATGCACTTGAGCAGTTGTTGCACATCACCTTCAATTCGGAATCAGAAGACTGCAGGTGTCATATACCAATCGATGAATTACTACCAACTAATTTCACCTTACCGTTGCACGACATCGCCTCTATCTCAAGTTTACGAAGAAGTCTTCGCATCTGTGTACGTATTTCCGTAACTCTTTGCAATGCCTTGCTATTGAGAAAGTTCTTTTGACACCAGACCGACGTCCTATTCTTCTCGTAGGCCGTGTAGACGTTAAGGAGCGTTATCAGATCACCCTCCTCAACTTCGAATTTCCGGTGAGCAACACGAGCCTTCAAAGCCGCCTGACCCCCAGCCGGTCTCACGAAAACGTTCTGTACTTGAAGCATCGCCAGTATTGTTGTCATCTCCTCTGAGCAACCTATCTCACCTAAAATTTCGTGGTATATCCGCAACCTCTTTAAAAGATATTCAGGGGGTTGAGTAAAAAAAAAGGGTGTACAAAATACATAATGTTACCGCACCAGAAGCTATGAGACACTTGGCAAATACCGGCTCCAGAGGTATTTCGGCCATTTTCATACCCACGGGATTGGTCAGCTCTCCATTGTCGTCGATCGCACCCAAAGCGTATAACAGTTCCAAGCCCGAAAGAAGATTCTTACTTGGGGGTGATGAGGGAAAGTTGAATCGTAATACGTTGTCGATTCCCAGAGCTTTCAGTTGTAGTATCGCTGGTGCTAAATCGGAACGTTGCATTTGCGGAGGAGTGACATCAACAAGACTCTCGTAGGCCTCCTCGGTGTAGAGTCTAACCGAACGAAAAAAAATCATGCAATATTAAACACAAGAGTAAAGTATAGGATACGTCCATCCACACGGCAAACGAGGTCGACTCTTACCTATAAACCTTTCCTGAACGAACGCGGCCAGCCCGGCCTGCCCGTTGCTCGGCCGATGCCTTCGAAATGGGCGCGACTATTAGACTGTTTGTTTGTGTTTCGACTTCGAACCAAGGAATCTTTGCGAATCCACTGTCGATCACTGCTTGGACATAGTTGTTAATGAGCCTACAGTTACCGACCTGAGTATGTACTCGTAAATCACTCTTACAGGGTCTCTTAATAAGCTGAAGATTTCGTTAGTCAATGAGCATCCCAATTTAGTGTATAATTAATTACCATTGCTGATTGAATTGCGTTAGCTTAAGAGACGCTATTTGAGAGAGGAATGAGCATGAAAACTATTCTTTAATGCAAGACCAACCATAAACAATATTGGGAATGGTAACGGATGTCTCTGCTATATTGGTGGCCACAATGATTTTGCGGGTGTCCTTCGCAGCTCTCCAGAAAACTTTAAGCTGCTCAGCGTTTGGCAAAGAACCATACATGGGCAGAGCTAATAGTTTTTCTGTAAAAAAAAAAAAAAAAACATAATAAGTCGTCATGTGGCCTATGTTGCAACTTTCATCGTGAAAAGTTCACTTACGTTTCTCCTCTTTGATAAGCTTGGCGTGTTCGGAGAGAAGGGAGACAGCTCGATCTACTTCCTCCATACCCGTCAGAAAGCAGAGCACGTCTCCGGATTCCTCCTGTTCGTGTAACCGTAGGCATGTCTCAACTACGGCCTTTACATAATCTGCCACCGGCTCTAAGGATCATGCATGTCCTTTTCAGTATATCCAGACCTGATCTCCTTTTTGCACTTTACTCACCTCGAACGTAAAATACATCAACAGGAAACGTTCGTCCCTCGATGGTCAAGATCGTTGCCGTGTCTTTCGAAGAATCTTTCGTGGTGTTTGTATTGAAGAAATCGCGAAGTTGCTCAGCGTCAACAGTCGCCGAGGAAACGACGACCCTCATGTTTCTCCGCTTCTGCAATAAAAAACGAGATCCATATCGGTTAGATAAGTTTTACCTTGCTCCTTGGCAAACCGTTACTTACGCGAAGGACTTTCTTCAGCAACCCCATAATAATGTCCGTGAGCAACGTTCGTTCGTGCACCTCGTCCAAGATAATGACACAGTAATTGGTCAAGAGAGGATCTCCCATCATCTCGCGAAGCAAAATGCCCTCCGTCATGTACTGGTCGAGAAAAATAAAATATCAAAAAGAAAAGTGGTAGGATTGCGAAGAGATATCGGCAACGCACCTTTATCTTCGTCATTGATCCAGTGCAATCGTCAAAACGTATCGTATAACCTACGTCCGTACCGAGGATCGAATTGCGTTCATCAGCAACTCTACTGGCCAAAGATGTCGCTGCCACTCGTCGTGGCTCCGTGATAACGATACATTTGCCATCTGAAGCCCATCCTGCTTCCACGAGATACTGCAACCGCACGATGGTATACAAGTAATAGAGAAAGCAAAAAAAGTGAAACTCAAAGACGAATATCGCCAACATCTGGCAAGTAAGAGGAATCATTCGCACGATGAACAATGGATGGCTATTATGTTGATGCTAGGTGATATATGGTAGCACTCGTCGTCGAGGGAGCATCGGAAAAATGAACATTGGCTCGTTTAGCCTTTCGGTAGCTCTTGCATTCTCGAGTCAAGTCTTACGAGTATAACGATGATGCTTTATACTACTTGTTAGAGCAACTGTACTTGACAGAACGAACCCCTACCGCCCGAATACAGACGACGATATATTTCCCAAACGGCTTAAAATACGAATTCAGTCTTAAAATGAAATTTGGAAATATTTTAACAAAAAACAGAAAGATGTACATGAGTGCAGATTTAGACACTTACAATGACTGAAAAAATTATCCAAGGAAAAAAAGTTTTATTTCTTCAGTCTTAATTTAGCTTAAATTACAATATACATTAGGTTACAACCATTACAAACATGCAAGATAAATATAATTAAGAAACTTTAAAAAAAAAATATTAGATCAACTGACCTGGGGTACTTGTGTGCTCTTACCACAACCAGTCTCGCCAATGAGCACTAATGTTTGATATTTTTCCAATAGATAAATAATATGATTACGATTCTTGAATATTGGCAATCTTTGACGCTGCAACTCAATAGCCAAGGAATGATGGGCATTGTAGACAAATTGTGTTGAAGAATGAGCATCTATGTCAGCTTTATCCTCTTGCCAAGAATTTTCTCCTGTAATTGAATGCCTAAGAATGGTTGCCTGCTGAGGATGTTTAAACAATACAGATGGATAAGACCATCAATTAGAGTACTTAATTTAATAACTTGCCTGGCCTTTTAAATCTTGGTTTCCCAATCATTTTATCTATGTATTTGAGTTTGAGACCTTCTATTCTCTTTCGACTACTTTGTTTGACTCGTGAGAGGCCAATGCACACACCAGCTTTTAAATGAAGGCTGCAGTTATATGTTTATATAATTGACCCATGAGATCACTATCTGACTTTGACAGATGAAATATAACGAATTTTCCAAATTTTTAGCACATGCTGCCTAACCACCGAAATACATGTCTTGTTTCATTAAATATATTCCACTGATATCGAATTGAAAATATTTAAATTAATCATAGGAGTGTTAAATGCTGGGTACCGTACAATTTTCGTTAATTAACATTGAAAGCGACTGTCAGGCTTGGTGGAAGTAACCGTGGCGAGACTCGACTATATCATTTACAACAGTGTACACGTTTCGTTATTATACCTTAATCGTCTCGACATAGCTTTATTTCAGAAAAAGAATGGAAATTCGACACTTTTAGCAGAGATGAGCAAGGAGATGCACAACGCTTCGGTTTCAGCGATACTAAAAACAGAGATGAGTGGGGAGATTCATAACGCTACGGTTTTCAGCGATACCAAAAGCATGGCGCTAAATCGTAGTGGCGAGTCCGGGAGTAGTATTTTGTGATCATGGCCTCTGTCGATAATCCATATCCCGTCGTAGCCGAGCTGAACGTGATCACGAACGTGTAGCCTGGCCGGCAGAGGTTCTCCGTAACTTACCGCTGGTTCCCAGAGCAATCTTTAGAATGAGAAGGCTCATCATATATTGCCTAAATACTTTTTTTTATTATCTTAAACTCGAGTGCACAGTGTAAGCTCGATAAGATTTACTAAGCCAAAAGCCAGCACCTTATGCCTGCCTGCGTTAAGGAGTGCAGCGATGTGGTGCTAGCTTCCAGCATTATTTAACGATAGTTCCAAGCGGAACTATGGTCTTAACATTGAGTACTAAAGCGAACTAACCCGGAACTGTTTGAGACAATCTGAAAACAACACTGAAAGCCAGCTCCTTATGCATACCTGTACTGAAGCGTCTGTTGCGACTACTATCCTTAATAGGTATTTTACCGATGTTACGTAGCAGAACTACTGTTAAAACCTATCAGGAACTAGAGAACTCCTCGAGAACTATTAAAAAAGCCTATTGTTGAATCATTTTTACATTGACCTACAATTGGCAATGTAGAAACCTGTAATAAATTATCTAGTTTACAGTACATCCAATAGAGTCGCTGTTTATTACCTTAAATTATGATCCTAATACGTGGTCTAGCGCAATATAGTTAATATACTGTGTCTGTGCCTGTGTGGTGTTTGTATAATAGGTTACGCTGCGATCTCCAAAATGACATTTCTAGCTTGTAGATGTTATTTACGAAAAATCAAGTAAATCTACCTAGATAGCCAGGTCCGCAAATAAATGCTTCCACTGCCCGAAAAGCTTTGCTCTATTTATCGATCGATGTGAGGTTATGATAACGAATAACTCGACTCGCATCAATGTTTACTGCTGTGACTTCTTCCGGCTACTGCCAAGGTAAACCGGCGAAATTTACGCCCTTATTCAAAGTTGTATGCTCACTATCAAGCATGGCATCATCCTCTCTATAGATCATACATAACCTCTTTTAATCCTCACTCTCTTGTTTTGACATTTCAAACCATTAAACACCTTTCTCGTGCACTTTCGAATTTCCCGGCTAAGCGCACTTGAATCCTCCCAGTGGGCTCACTCTTTCTTGACTCAGGATATTTACATGCTGATGAGATATGTTTGCCATGGCCTCATCTTTACGAACTTTACTGCCATATCCTTGCTTCCTATAAACTTTTGCTCTTATTTCTTGAAGCTCTTTATCTCTGTAGTTTATGCGTGTCTGCTCAGGATAGTTCTAGTAGCCACTCCAAAACTTCCAAAACTTCGCAGGACAAAAACATTTGAAGCTGGAGATATGACATTCAGTGCTGATAAAAACAAAGAACTACAATGATTGGCACAGCCTCTGGACTGGAAGATGCTTGCCATCAAGCTCAGGTACTTCAAAGTTTTCTTTTTTTTTTTAATACACAATGACTGGAAAATGCTATACTTGAAAACTTCTTATCATCTTTCATCGATACTGATGGAGTTCTTGCGATAGTATGTTAATTTTTGTATACAACCGATTGTGTAGGACATGATTGAGCAAGTTCCACGGTACTGGCAAGATCCTATGGGTCTTCCTGAGCCTAGAAAGGAATCAAGCCAGAAGATAGAATTATGTTACCCCAAACACAGTATCCAGGCAAAACTTACGCGGCTATATTTTGAGGAGCTGTCAAAAGTTCCTCATGCGACACCTGACTCGGTCTTGGTACGTAATTAACAATATACAGATAGAATCATTTTGGGGCTTTTTTATCATTATTATCTCATCATTAAAACTATATATATATTTGTGCGTGTGTGTTTGTAATAACAGAACAATCTGGAGAACGAATGCGATCTCTTGGGGCGTTTAGTGCAGAGAGAGGGTCTACACACATTAATTGTTAATCTCTATGCTGGAAACAAAGGATACTCATTAGGTGTAAGAAACTGGTACGAAAGAGTTATTGACAGAGTTTCAGTACTATCACGCGAAACCAAAAGTAAAGATTGTTCATGAGATTATTGTGTAACAGCGAAAAAGGTACCCAATTCGACAAGAATGCTCTACTCTCGGAAACCCAACTAATGGGGTATGAACAGGGTGAACTCCTCTCCTGCATCGACAACGGGCAGCTGCCGTCAATGCTCGCCGAACAGCTGGAAACGAATAACTCGCACCTCTTCTACGACGGTTGTATAATCGCTGAAGTGCGCGATTATAGAAAAGCATTTCCACATAGTAAAGCCGAGGTGCACCACGTTCTCCTAAAGCCAACCACCCAGGTAACGGATTGTTATTCGTTCCTTTTTTCGTACATACAGCAGACTAAAGTCGCAAGTATATGGTATAATTGTACTTGACCATTGCCCGACCGGTATTTCTTTAAAGAGCGTTCTCTCGGATGTGTCCACGTTAACGAGTGACGGAGAATGGAGTCACGAGGAACGCCTCGTTTTGGAGTCTCATCTGATTGCTGCTACCCAGGGACCACTGTGCCTCGATCCAAGTCCCATACCCAGCCTTGCAACTACGCGGTTAATGCAGTCAAGATCTCTCCTTACGGATCATCAGTTAATGCGACAAGCCAAAAAGTTCTCTCAGGTAACACTTAATGATCGTTCATTTGATGCAACACTAAGCAAGTTATCCAACTATCTAACGAGAACTCTTTAATGACATTTCCAACACTGAAGTTGATCGTTTGATTTTCAGGTTACCGTGAATCGCAAAAGAAAATTGGAACAACTTGCGCAACCTGAAGGACTTACGATACAGGACCTCATGCAAAAGCTTCGTGCGAAAAGGGGATTGCCAACTAGCACTGCCTGCCCCCCACCGTCTCTTGCAAATCCTCCTCTACTTCCACCTAGCACACCCATTGACGTTCTTAGGTATATCACACCTTGAATATTGGCTTCGCTTTGCATTGGACATGAATTATGCAACCCTCTAATTCGATAAATTTTTGTCACGTCTTTAGGTACGCAAAGGCGTACGAAAGGCCACGGGAAACTAAAGACTGCCTCCCGCAATTAATAGAAGAATATATATTAGAGACTGAACGTGGCCAAGGCCGTGTCTATCATATAAAGCTCTCGATCCTACAAAGACCTTCGAACTCCGAGTACCTGGGAGAGCTTTACGTGGATCGCGATCATCGCGAGGGCGAAAAGAATGGTTCAGCTTGCAGGTATAATTATGAAAAAAATAAACTGCAAACTGAAAGTACTTTGTATACTCTACATTCCGTTAAAAGATTTTTCTGAACCATTTCCTTCTCTCTTTAGATTTACATTAGGAACTAGAGCTCAGGCGAATCACTATATCCAGCAATTCACAGAGATCTTCACTGAGGAAGGTAGGAAGAACGTTAGAATAATGCACGTCGTACCAGGACAGACTCCCCGAGTTACGTGTACACCAGGGATGCAGCGTGCTCATCAACAGGTTGTTATTAGTGCCGAATTTCTTATCGCTATACATATATTACAAAATGATCATTGCCTATAGGACATTTATAAACTGATATTGATTAAAGAAATTTGATTAGTGATTTTGAATAATTTTAGGCACAGCAAGCACAGGCGGCACAATTAGTAGCTCAGCAGTTACAACAGGCACAGTCTCAACACGTTACACAGCAGGTATGCTTATTGTTCTTCATCAATATATGTCTTCCGATCGTAACATCATTTTGCTTTTTTCTTTCGTTCCTTTGATGTGGTTAGATTATCTCGCGAGCTCAGGGACAACTGAACACTCTGGCTGGTCAAGTGGCTGCGATGAAGACTGTCCTCGAAACTGCTGGTTCAACAACACAGCCTAGTCTAGCCTGCCTCGACTCTACCGTGCAGGTTGTTCAAGGGGTTCCTCAGTCCGAAGCCACAACATCGAACTCTGCACAGCCTCTAACTAACGGCGGACCACATACAGCGACATCTGGACAACTAGAGAGCACGACTTTGCCCGTCGACACAGGATCATGTAACGGATCAGGCATTCTGGTCTTTCAGCAAAAATCCAGCAGCACTCCTAATAATAGCACAACCAGCAATGTTCCCGTGTTGGTCTGTGTTTTTATAATCCACTTTTCTTGCAGCTAATCTGTGCTCAATTCCTAGATACAACCTTTCTCTTTATTTCACAGCAAGCTCAACTTCAAGCTAGAGCCCAGAGCCCATTGGCCGACGGAAATCAGTGTCAGAGTGACGGCTCATACAAAAAACATTCGACAAATCCAGCGATAAGCGCTTTGGTGACATCGCTGATGAACTCTGCGCAACAGTTTCAGCAGCAGGCTGCAGGTATGAATCTTTAAGCATATTTTTACCACGTTTGCTTACTTGCTTACTTGATTACGTGATTCGTGTGTGCGTGCATTTATCAGCGAATGCGGCAGCTGCGGCGATGAATAGTAACGTACAAGCTCCGGTAAAGTCAAACAACGCAGCAATCTTGAGCCTCTTGAACAGCAGTCCGGCTAACCTATCCCAGCAAAAATCACAGCCACGCAGGATCTCTCTGAATGCCGCGATACCACCGAGAGTCATTAGCCATGGAAACGTCATTACTGTGCCTAGTACAACTGGTCAGGTATGCATTCTACTGGGATCATTAAAATTTATGAAAACTGCGTAAATTTTTTAAGGAAGTACAGCTACAGTTAGGTTGTCTTATGTTTTTAGGTAAGGGTTAGCTTCAGTTCTGCTCTCACCAGTCAACTCACCGGTAAGCAACAGCCAGTGAAGGCTACTGCAGTACGACTGGCGAGAGTTCAAGACCCGACCTCAACCTTAGGATTATCCATGCCCGGATTGTCCGCCCTGCTGGCTGGTAATTGCCCGTTATGCGTTCCATAGAGTGTAGCGAGCTCTTTAACAATAACATGATCTTGGTAATAGATCATTAATTACGATATTCTTAGGAACTCCATCGGCGGATAATCCAATTCCTGGAATAAATACAGCTTCGTCTTTGCTCGAACGTTTGACAGCCTCCTCCAGCCAAGGAAGTCAACCGGCGAGTCCAATGACAAGTCCGCCTCCTTCTGGTAACGTCAATCTTCAGAGTGTTAATCTGACGAGTCTACCTGCGGGCACCATTAACGGCCTGCAAAATGTCCAGGTGAGTCAATCGTCCATAACGAATATCGAAAACTACAAACTATTATACGTACCAGTGATTATGAAAGTAACATAAATCTCAAATACGTAAAGATTAAGTTAATCACTAAAGAATATTATTTGAACGCACAAAAAGAGGAAACAGTCTAAGTTTCTCAAATAAACAAATATTTGACTTTGACCACTCTCATAATCATCGATACGTAAATCGATTTTTGAAAATTTTGAACCTACCACAGGCTGTAAAACTGCTTTTTCAGGTTTCATTTCCTGGCTTGTCGCAGCCCATCACGATGTCGCTTAACGTATCGGCAGCTACTGGTTCGGTTGCGCCAACCGGTGTTATCGTGAGCCTACCGATTTCCTCGGCAACCAATACTTGCACTACAGTGTCTAGTGTGAGTTTACTCTGTTCCTAAATAGTTAATTGTACTTTCTCTAGCCTAAGAATTTCATGCGGTTTAATCTAATTAAGAAATTTATGAATCTACAGTGTTTTTCCTCGTTTTACAGATGGTCGCTGCCACGGTCGCTACCACTGCTATAGCTGGTAGTACGCCGACTGTGGTAATCGCCAATCCCGCGAATACTCATTTGTCGTTGCCAATTGGTAAATACATTATACACACCTCATTGATTCTGCGTAACTAGTGCAATAACTTTTTTCTCGCTTTCAGCTCAAATAATTCCTTCGGGAGTAAAGGGCTTGTCACAGCAAAATATACGTAGCAGCAATGCAGTCACTCTGTCTCATGTAAGTTACAGGATGCAATGAGGTCTGTTATACCTTACCAAGTATTTCCTTTTCTTTTTAATAATTTAATTAATCAACAGGGTGGGCAGGCGATTCAACTCGTAGGATCTCAACGACCTCGGCTTAACCAGATGACTCGACAAGTTCAACCGAATCAATTGGTAACTGTGACAAAAACGATGACGGCCAACCAACTTATATTGTCAGGCAACAAACAAGTGTTAACTCCTATAATGGGTAAGTTAGTGTGACACCCTTTCATCACGCAATAAACGTCCAAAGATTTTTATCAACGGTGATAATAATAAGTGTAATAGTAATAAAAGTCTATGCGTGTATTCTCAAAGTCACTGCAAGTACTACGAAAATAGCAAAATTTATTTTAGATGCATATACATATAGTCGGTCCACAAGTCCAATACTTTATTTTGTATAACTTGCAAATAATGCAATTGTTAACAAATAGTTTGTCACTTTCCATAAAATTACGAAAATGTATGATAAAATAAAAAATGGAAATATGTTTCAGTGTAAAAAATGCGTATGCATACTTTGTAACAATAATTGTATGCAAAGCTTATGTGTGACTTATTAGAATCTTCATTGTTTTCGATTTGTCAAAAAAAAAAAGCACATTGAACTCGTGAATCAACTATAGATACATAAGGACAATGGCCCCGTAAGCGTGCAGTACTTTCATTGAATTGTGGAGCGTGGCCTGTATTTCTTTTTTATTTACAGCTGCGAGCAAGCCCGTTTTAATGGCGACACAAGCATCGCCATCCACCCAAGCAGTATCTGCTAATAAACAAACATTAGTCACAAAATCTTTGCACGCAAGGGCTCCGAACACTGGACAGTGTAATTCGCAGGGCCAGCCGCTTGGCACGACGAATCTTTCGCAGCAACAAGTAATTTTGCATATATGTTTAAATACTTTGCTCATTTTGTTTAACCTCCATTATGTCTTCATTTAAATTCGCAATATTCTCCCAATCGCAAATTACATAAAGAACGGCTATTGGCGACTATTGCCTAATTGCATTGTTTTCACAGCTACAAAGGACTTTGGTGAAACCGGTGCAGTTGCAACAATTACAACAATGTCTCGCAGCCCAGCATAAAGCAGCAGTCGGTGCCACGGCTGGGAGCTCGCAGACTCGCACGCAAATTCAAAACCAACGAAATTCCACATCAGGTCCGAGCGAAGACTCTCTCTGAAGATGTTCAAATTGCAGTTACAATGAACATTAACGATGACGACGATGATGGATGACGATGACGGCTACGACGACGACGACGACGACGACGACGACGACGACGACGATGATGATGAATGATGATGATGGGTAAAGGTGATAAATATCACGGCATTATTAATGATTATTATGCATGGCAATCCTCTTCGTCGTCTTACGTCTTTAATAATTGGACCCTCCCACGAGCTACATCGTCGACTTCACTTTTTAATAAAGCACTCACTATAATTTCTTGCTTAAAAGTAATATCACGCCGCGTATCTTGTAAAAATCATTCAGAATCCCGCAGAGAAGATTCGCAAATTCTTATTATAATGCGGTAAACTGATTCTGTCTAGCCTTAAATTGTACGCGGGATCCGATTATATATAAAAAGCAAAAATTTCCTGTCCTCTAAATGGAAAAGAAATGATGTAAATAACGTTTGAAAGAAAAACGAAAGAAACATCTCGCGGGATGCTCAGTAACAATTGTACAAAATGTCGCACCACTCTCAGAACCAGACCCTTCAAATATAGGAACTTCGTCTGTTGCAAGTAAAAAATGAATTTCAAGGCAAATTAACGATGGCAATGTTATCTCCTTCTTTGCCATTCATTATTTTTTCTTGATTTTTGAAATAATGATACCGTGTGAATGTGCAATAAACCTTATTTCAAAGTAAGAATAAACCCCTTGCGACGTTACTTGAGGAAGGTCTCAATTATTGTACATATTAAATATACTTACAATATATGATTTGTTTTATATTAAAAAACGTAATAAATATTCCATTTTTATTATTTATCGATCTTCCTTCAGTTTGAATATCCTTACACTAGAATTTATACTGAAAAAAAAAGGAATGAAACAGAAGCGATGCCGGTTGTTCCTTAAAGGGACGACTCGAGGAGAAGGATAAGAGTTATCAGTTATAAGGATCTCGACCAATCAGAATGATTAGTTCTCGAATTTTGCTATTGTCAAACAGTCTGTCTTGGGACACCGATCGAGGTGTCACGAGCCGGTTCGCGCTCCCGTGTTTGCTATGTGTTGATAGTTTTTCTAGCTGTGTTTCCGATACGGTATAGAAGGTTCTCGCGTTGCTCTCGCAATATCCAGAAAATCCTATTGATTTTCCGCGTGTGTTTCGGAGGTGCAGTGATGTGCGATAATGTAGTGCCCACCCGAGTGTCCCCTGGATGCAGTTCTTGACCTTCGCGGATCAGCTGAACCAGCTCCGGTGAGTAGGTACACTCCAAATTTATTAATTGGTGGAGGGATTTTGATTTTCTGGCTCCAATTCGCGCTGCTACATTCTCGATCAATTGCTCTCTGTATCCCGCACTATTTGCCTGAAGTTTACTCCGACCCTCTTTACCTCAATCTAGCAGTCTGAGCGGCTGTGCATTTCCGTAACAGTCCGCTCCCGATCGCGCATCCAGTTGCGTTTGCTGATTTTACGCGAGCCCAAAGATCAGTACCTACGGTTGTGCTTCTCGATTTCACGCGCTCCCAAAGACAGGATCCGTTAAGTTGTCGTATCTTCTGATAGATTTTGTCACAGCTATCGTTTTGGCAGACTTGGGCCTATTCCACCCCCCCCCCCCCCCCAACTCCCAGATAATACCGGCTTGTCAGTTGTCGGTGATAAAAAAATTTGCTGGCGCCCGCCTGGCTTGCGCATGCATGGGCGAAGCTAACATAGGTTGGTTCTCGAATTTTTCGTTTTCGGTGTCGAGTTAAGAAAATACGTTACAAGTTTTATTCAATAGCTGCATATTTGGTCAAATGTTTCACGTGAAATTTACCTAATTATATTCATGATGCTTTTTTGACTTACTGATACTTCGAAAAATATGCATTACTATTCTTTTGGGTAAATCCAAAATTGCAGTAGATAATTGATTCTTTCGCTCTTCAATTGCCAGAATAGCATTACGCTCCATCTTACATCAAATGTCCTCATCAGAACATGACCATGAAGAGCGATATTATCGATCTTTTGATAGTACAGGAATGTGAGAAATATGTATAGAGAACACTTTGTATATAAAAGACATATATATATATATATATAAAGAGAGAGAGTGAGAGAAAATTACGATATCTTACTTTATTCCCACACTAGATGCTATATAAATTGAAGAAACTGACATTCCGATTCATCTCATGATATTACGTCTATATGACGCGGCGGAGTAAATATTCCAACAGATTGTGATTCCTAACATCAAAATATATTTTTTCCACCACCTTCAATGACGACGACCAACATCACGAAAAACGTACATGGATCGTCTTCTTCGTAGAGGATCATTTATGTTTCATCATCATCGCTCGTCGGGTCACCCTTCCGCAGAATAAACCCATGACAAAAATAATTCCGATTATACTGACTGCAATAATCATGAAATACGTGCTCGCTGACGAGCTACTAACCGAGTAATAAAGTTCCTTTATAGAGTTTGGTTGTATCAACTGAAAAGGTAAAGAACAAATTTTTGTATTATCCATTGCGAGCACTATATAATCAGTGAGACTCACCTTTTCAGCTAATCTGAACATTTCCAGTCTAGCAGTCAACATCTTGTAACAGTCTGGCTGAAGAGAGCGTAAACTATTCTGAAGACACTTGATATCTGATAAAAGGTTTTATTTGTAAGATTCCTCCTTGCAACTCGCATAAGCGATGGTTGCACGGTTGGACAAGCGTCTCTCGTGCATATAAAAAAATGAAATACTCAAAAAGGAAAGAAAATGTAAGAAAAACTTACGCCTGCCTGCTCCTTGTGGAATGTCACTACAGTATTTGCTGACGTCAATGGCACAAGCTTTTTGTAACAATGGATCGACATTAATATCGACCTTCCTCTGCTCAATAAGATCAGCAACTTCCAAGCGACATTCTTCCTTCATTTCTTGGTTTCCCCGCTTGAATTCGGCCTTAAGGCATTCCTCGACATCTCCAGGCTCCATGTCTTCCGCGGGACATATGGTCTCGACTTCGGTCGAACATAGCGTCGCCAGCAGCGGATTCAAATGATAATTAAGTGCGGCTTCCTTAAGTATGCTTGTCATCTGAAGTTCGCACTTGGCCGTTAGTTTCGACTCACGAAATTTGATCTTGAGGCACTTTATCACTTTTCCTTCGAGTTCATGGACCGTACTCTCGCGCATTAGCACCTCCTTACAATGTCTATCAATATCCGTAACGCAGGCAGATTGAAGCGCGACATTAAACCTGTAGTCAGTGTTTTGCTCGATCATTCGGCGCACTACCATACTCTTGCACTTCTCGTCGAAAGATGGCCTGTTCTTCGCTACCTTCAGGCAGGACAGCGCGCTGGCACCATCCATATAATTACAGAAAAGACTAATCATCGATCGGCAAGCTTCCAATAAAGCAAAGTCACTCGAGCTATCCTGGAACTCCTGCTTCCGCACCTTAAATAGCTGCGTGTGACACTGCTCGGACAATTTGTGTTTCTGCGACGCTAAGCACTCGAGAATCTACAATGGTCTTGATTATTAATTAACTGTACAACGATAAATAAAATTAAAATTATTTTTTTTTTCGATGCGCGTATTCCTCACCTGCGATCTTCCTGGCTTTACGTCGAAGCACAGTTGCTTGACATCCGTAGCGCAGAGTTTCTGAAGTGTCGGATCAAAATTTATGTTCTCTCGCTGCTGATATAACTGGGCTCTCAATTGCTGTCTACACTCCCTTGGAACACGATGCTGTGTATCTTTCATTATATCCTCCTGGACAACCGTGCTAAGGCACTCGATTACATCAGCCTTTGTTTTTGACCTAAAACGCGAACTACTTAATTAATTTTTACTCTTAATTTGTCATTCTCAGCACAGTATATCTCTTCGATTACCTGGGGCACCATCTCATGACATAGGGCCTACAGGCATCTTTGAATTTATACGTGAAATGATAACTCTTGAGCGATATCAATTGGAAATGTTCTACAGCGGCTTTACACTTGTAATCAAAATGGACATCCAAGTCGTTTTTATGTTCTATTAGGCACTCCATTAAGTCGCCCTCGTCCTTACCGACTTTCAGTACCTCCTAATTCAAATTTACTTAAGATTATCATTCCCGATGAAAAAAGTCCTTCAAACGTACCTCGCAATACTGCTCCATGACGTGTTGGCAAGCACCTGTGACAACAGGATTGAGTTCGACCCGTTCCGCCTGTTCCTCAGTCAAATTACCAACGGCTAATTTACATCTCTCATTTAAACTGCAATCGGAAAGCTAATTGAATATCCAACGCAAATTCTCCAGGACGTTTTGTTTAAACAAAATTATCTCAAAGTTCCTAATATTATACTAAGCTGAAAGATTACCACCATGCGCACCAGCGATAGTCTCGATTACCTGCATTAGCTCGCGAGTTGACGATGATCTAAGCGTGAATTATTACCTATCCAAGTTGTCTTGAAGGCACAGAGTTTCTTCCCTCTTTGCCGTTTTGTCGTAACAGTACATAGCCAACTCGTTCAAACAGACTTCCTCAATTTCAGGCTGCAAATCCACATTAATGGCCCTTTGCCTCATGACCCTCCTGATCTCTTTCAAACATCCGTTTTTTAGCTGAAGAGCACACATACATTCGTTTATGAAAGAGCAAAAGAGAAATACAAACAGGACGTGGAGTTCTTGACTTACCGTCATATTTTTCTGCGGGTGATAGGCATATCTATATAAGCATGGCAATACGAGAGGACCCCTCTCGGGATCCATTTGGATTCCATCGTTAGCCCAAGCATTTTTCGCATGACAAAAGTGCATAGCATCGGCCTTGCACGCTTTATATAACTGCGGATCGAGCTTAAAGTCCCTGGCTACAAAATACTGAATTTGTACCAAAGCAGTCTCGCAAGCCTCGGTCATTCTGTCTGTTCCTAGCTTCTCCATTAAGCACGAGATAACTCTCGCATTTCCACCGCGCACCTGAAACGATGAACAGTTAGCCAATTGGTATATTCTAGAGTAATAGAATACGGCTCAATTGATACTCACGTCGTTGCAAGCCACAGCGACAACTGGTTGGCACGCTTCCCGTAACACGGGATCAATCCTCCAATCCTCACCGGCATCGGTTTCCTTAATTAACCCTTCCAACTGTATGTGAATATGAATAAGTCATAGAGAATAGATATAAACAATTATGAGTTATAACAAAATCTTACCGCTCTTTGACATTCTGCAGAGACTCTCGACTTTTTCTTTCGCGCTCTGGTGTGCTCCATTAAGCAATGAATAGTCTTACCACCCACCTCCAGACCGTTACAAAACGACAAAATGTCTGCGGCGCAACCGTCCACTATTTCCGGAGACAATCTGTAATCCTCCATGAGGATCTTCCTGTGATCAAACATCTCCACTTGACAGTCCGCTGTTATTTTACTTCCGTTTCGAGATGCCGATTCCAGACAAAGTAAGATCTGTGCTAATCTAATCTCTTTATCTTCAGATACTGATCTCCTGCAGTGATTACCTCTAATATCCTCCTTGCAAGCTCTCACTAATCCTTTACTAACTTTATAATCAGAAGCTATCAACTTCTCGCGTCTCGTAAGCTGATCCTGGCATTGTTTTGTCATTGCTCGATCTGTTTTGTACTGCATTAAGCACTTGTAAACTCGACCACTACCTGGACGAATATTTGGACAAAATTTAATGTGATCTTGTGTGCAAGCCATGTACAGCTGGCGGTCTAACTTAATATTATCTGCTTGTATCTCGGATACGTGAAGAATCCGTTTTCTGCACTGCCCCTCCAGCTGATCTACGTGACGCTGCAGACAGGCGAGGGTTAATCCCTGTGACATTTCTCTGTATGCCTGTATTCTACCACACTGAAACTTCTCAATGTCTCCTTGGCAATCTGATACAAAATGTGTTATGATTCTGAAATCACTAAAAGCAACCCACTCCAGTCTCTGAAGATACTCTAAGCATTGGGGCTCTTTTATATGCTCCCGTTGGTCTATTATGCAGGATAAGTAAGATACGGATGTATCTTTTGATCCGCACATGAAACTATCTGCCTCTTCTGGACATGCTTGCTTTATAAGTTTCTGGACATTATCATCGCTAGTGAGACTTGTAGTGTGGATCCAAATTTTGTGTTGGCACTGATTATTAATACCGGAAAGTTCATTCGCCTAAAAATACAATGCACACTTGTATAGTACATTATATAATAAGTTATTCCAATATTATTTATATTACCTTAAATGTCTGAATGCACTCAAGCACAGATAGGTCATCGTCATTTTTATCCATAGAGCCACAAAGTCGATGCAGGTCGCTTCGACAATCCGAATCATCGATCAATTTATTTGTCTTTGAAACAGAGACTGATTCTCTTTTTATCCTAGAGTGGATATCTCCAGAATTTCCAAATATCCAGCCGACTCTGGGGGCATGTTCTACGGAGAAGGCAATGGAGTAGAGTCTCGAAGTAGAGCCGTAACCAAGTAGCGGAAGCGCAAAGAGAATGCCGATGAGTATCTTGGAAAATATTTTCGAGCACTCCATGATGTTTTTAAATGAACATGCTACTCAAGCATCTTTTATTATAAGACTCATCACAGCTCGGCGAGCATCGTGGGTGCGCGTTCAACGTCCAAGTATTTGATGTGCACCAATGTGTACTTTGTACAGAAAGAGAATGACTCAAGGTCACGAAGCAGTTCATATATTAGTGTGTATAGCTGTCAGCGCATAAGATGACCCGAGATGACCAGATAGGTCAGCAGAGACTAGGACTGACTAGGGTAACGCTTTCTCGTGTTTTTGAAACTAAAAAAGAACTGAACCCCACTGTTGTACGACGGTAACAGGGTGCGTGAACGCCGTGTTTCCACGATGTGACGTTTTGATTGTCGCCACAAGTCCCCAGAAGCCGCCACTATACACGCCACTATAGCACCAGAGCAAAATATGTGTATGGTGAGTAGGGAGCAGTGGGGAGGACGTACGAAGCTCACGAATATCACGCATAGTATATCTATATATACCCAACCAATCAAAAACGTGGGTATGGTTCGACAGCTGTCCGCTGAGGTTGCGCGTCGATTCTAAAGTAAAATTGGTTTCAAGAAAGTCGACCCACTGACAATCTCCCTACTAATCTCTGATAGCACACTATACCTTGCGCGTCAGATTCGACTGTGTAAACTGGCGAAGTGAGAGCATTGTTACCGAGGGGATACCAGTAAAGAGGACCAACCTTAAGGGTACTTTGTATCTGACAGCTATTGGACACTGGAAGATGTGCTGGAACCAGCATGAAAGTTCTACGGGGTATTAAAATGTCACATAATTTGTTTTACACACTTAATGCACGGGGTGAGGAGGGTGCACTGGCTCTCTTTACTAATATCTTCTCAGTAACGAAGACAATCCGATATGTACTCCACAGGTTTCTGCGTACAATTCTAGTTTATTTATTAAATCATTTCTGATGAGGATGAACGTAGAAGTCCAGGTAATATGTAAATATGCAAACAATAATAAGATTTATGTCAGACTCTAGGTTTAATTATTAACATTACAGCGTCTATACCTCTCTGTCCGTCTGGTCTAGCAGGCAAGAACAAGTACCGACTCACGTAAGTCACAGTTCATCTCACTGCAATGAATGACCATGTTTGCAGTGTAAAATTGTGAACGACAGGGAAAAAAATATAAAAAATAGTTAGGCAACTCTCAATGCGGAGATTAATAATATCTACAATAAATTCGTCCATTTCTCATGATATCCCTTACAGCGTACATACAACGACCAACCGCAAGCTCCACGTTTCCCTTCATATACACGGGGAATGAAGAATCCAATATAAGTAAGCGCACAGTTTCAATTTATTGAATCGTCACACTGCCTGCAGTGTCCTTAGAAAAATACTTAATATGCAATAATAAATGCATCCATTCACGAGGTTTGAGTTTAGTTAAGAAACAATTGAGAGGCGTGTCAGCGTTTGGTCGTTCGCGTCTCTTAACGATGATTGAAATGTTACGATGAAAGTTCCTTTATGACGGTAACGGGTAGAAAACGTTGGTCTCTATTGGTTGTACACTAAGCCCTATTACTCTCATGAAATTATTTCGTAACCTCGTGAATTGCGTGAGCGAGGTAATCCACGTTTTTCGATGTGACGCCGGCCATAGATATTCTTCCATCTTTGGTGAGATAGACACTGTAGTTCTTCGTCAGATTTTCAACCTAACAGAGGTGTAAAGAAAAAAAAATCTTTATTAGAAACATGAACGCCCAGGAAATCGATAGACCGTATCATCGAGAATCCACCAGAATCTTCTATGGATCGTACAGCAACAATAATAGAAGCAGATACGAGATCAAGAGATTTCTTATCGGACGACGGATTACTAATGGATAAAGTAAAAATGTCCAATTACCTCCGAGGCTTTGAGACCCGTGAAACAGAACATGCCAATCTGGTCGGTGATGTGGGACCAGTCACGAGAGCTTCCTTCCTTTTTTAAATTTTCACGAAGCTTCGTGCGTACCGAAATTATACGATCGGCCATACCCTTAACGTCTCGGAGCCATTCCTGCTTTAGCTGATCATCGCCCAGAATCTCGTTGACAATACGAGCTCCGTGAATGGGTGGATTTGAGTACATGGGTCTGATCAAGATCTTGATTTGCGACATTGTGCGAGCAGCTTCCTCTTTGCTTGACGTCACCAGAGAGAATGCACCCACACGTTCGCCTAAAGGAAACATACGGAAAAATATTCGAAGATGCGAACACGATCAATAGGTCAGGTCACACTCACCGTATAAACCCATATTTTTTGCATAAGACTGTGCAAGAGCAATGCCATGACCTTCTTCGATAAACAGCCTCACTGCCAACGAGTCCTTTGTCACATCACCTATGGCCACGTACAAAATATCTTTCCATTTGTTCTCATGGTAATGATATCAATTAGTTGAAGCACTCGTATCTCACCAGAAGCGAAACCTTGATACGCCATATCGAAGAATGGAAAAAGTTGTTTTTTTTTTATCAATGCAGAAAGTTCTTTCCATTGTTCTGGTTTTGGATCCACGCCAGTGGGATTGTGGGCGCATGCATGCAGCAGGATAATGGACTTTTCAGGGATTTTCTAAACAATAGCCATCACATATCCTTCCTTACATACTGCTTCAAACGGTTCATTGGATCTGCAAATTTCTCTCAATTATAGATACTTACAGAAATGTCCTCCAATAAACCTTGAAAGTCAAGCCCACAAGTTTTTGGATTGTAATAACGATAAGACTTGACAGTAAGGCCTGAATGCTTGAAGAGAGGAGTATGATTTCCCCATGATGGTGATGGCAGGTAGACTTCCTTGTTACCAGCAAAGAAGCTGTTCAAGAAGGCACCGCCAATTCTGAGGGCGCCTGTACCCGAAATTCCTTGAACCGTAGCATTCTGAAACATGAAATTATCATGATGCAAAATATGAAATAGCATTACTGTTTGGAATTTATTAACGTTGCTCTCAAGTATACTCACCAAACCGTTAGCTACAACTTGATTGTCATCACCAAGTGCCAGATTAATACTGTACTTGCAAAAGTCAGGATTTCCAGAAATGGGAGAATATTCCTTGTCTAAACCTTTAGTTTTCATTTTCTCTTCTGCCTATAACAAATAAGAATTCTCAGTTACTAACTACCTTTAATAGACCGAGTGAATGATTCAATGAAATCTGTAATCAAGTACCTTCAGAACGCTTGGAAGGACAAAAGGTTTCCCATTGTCATCCCTGTAAGCACCTACACCCAGGTTAATCTTCTTGGGGTTTTGATCTTTCTTAAAGGCCTCAGTGACTCCCAGAATTGCATCAGGGGGTCCCATTTCCACATGAGACCACCATGAGCTGTGAAAACATTTATTAACTTGAGAGATAAAGTCTGAAGTGATATTAGACACTGTTAACCTTCATTATAATGCATCGGATTGATTCCAATTTTTTGGTTTCTTTTACCTACACGAGAAAAATTATGTCAATAACTGCAAATACTTTGAAAATTAAAAAGAAATGTCTTAGATAATCGCTTCAAGGCTATCCAAGGATTATGTAATAATGTCAAAAAACCGTTATTCATGTTGCTTTCAGAGAAACAATCAAAATAATCTGTAGATCGTGTTATCTTAATCTCTCAGGCAAAATTCTACTTTGAACATGTCGATTTATCGAAGGATTAGATGTATGGATAGGATCGGGGGTTATTAACACGTACAACATTTGCAATCGAATGTAAACATATGACAATTGTTTCGAGCATTCGCACCAATAGTATAGAGACAAATTGGTAAAATATAATCGTGCGTATCGCACGTAGCGTGGAATAAGCAGCCACAAAAATAAAGACGACCATAGTCCAAGCGGTGAAGAGAGACGTTTAGAGGTCAAAAGGGTCGGTAGGTAAGGAAGATAAATGTATTCCTGCGACCATACTGGATTACACTACCTTATAGTTCTAGTCGAAATAGCCGGGACAGCATTGGCACCCTTGAACAGTCCTCTTGACGCAACGAGTCTTGCAGTTTGTGCCATTATTCTTGAACGAGAAGAACGAGATAACTGGGAACAACTGAAGTAGCTGGGAAATATTTTGGGCATCGGAAAATCGCGATAAACGACGTGCCTCACGAGTGCTCGTTATTGTCACGTGTCCCGAGTCTGCCAGTAAGAGACTCCGAGGTACCCGCTGTTCGCTGCTGGTTTTGCCGGCTTACATTTATTACCAGGGGGCAGCTTGCACTGGCATTCATTCGCACATGCGCATCCTGTTGTATGGTCAAATTCAAGGTCATCGGAGGTTATCGAAGACCCATCTGGACCCATCGCATCTTCTGCTCGTTGATATGGTTCTTCTGCGCGTTTTCTTTTGTAGAACACGAAATCCTTTATGATACATGGGGCGCCTCGTGTCTGTTCCTTGCATATCGTACTTTCAGAATTGGACATTCTACTATTAGAGCTCTGGTCTACCTACCTACGTGTCTTCTCTGTGTCTGCTGGAAACTAATTAGTATGCATTGGAATTGCGTGATTCAAAATACGACGCTAAAGCGTACGTCATTAGCCAATGATCCTATGATTGCAACTGTGTCGGAACGCTGACAATAAATCATCTTACAAGTAAACTTGTGAGTTCTAACGAACGTATTGTGTTTTCTGGATACGTTGTGCTGATTCATAATGGCATTGGCTCGCATTGGATTTTCCAAGTCACCAAGTATAGTGATGAAACGTTACGTGCATTCTGGTGATATGTTACTCTTTCATAGTGTATACTATTCTAGCATATGGTTTCTTATAATATCAGATTTAACTGTGTCGTTACTCTTATTACATTGCAGTTAATATTCCGTTGAATGGAGCTCTTCGTGCCAAACAAGCTAAGGATTCTGAACAGCCCAAGAGTTTCCATGTGACTTCCATACGACGATATCCTGATGCTCCAACTTTGCCACTGCCAGACAATATCTCAGAGATATTCAGCAATGAAACTGGTCGATTCACGCCTGAACGATCTCGCGACATTGCCGGTCGTGTGCTAGTTTGCAGTACGAGTACAGCAGTTCATGACACTGTACCTGGGAAGAAGTCCTTTGCGCTACATAGTACAAACGATTGTACAAACAAAGAAGACTCTCGTGTTGATTCTTATGATTGCACTGGTGCAGTGAGCCTTAATAGCTCGATGCAGAGCACCGTGCCACAACCATGTTGTTCTGTTGGAAAATCAACCTATCTAAATATGCCTGGTGGTCAGTGGGCCAAGGATGGAAAGTATATTGCCGAACACATGCAAAAATCTCATTATGCAACCATCAAGCCTCGACATTCCAGCAAAGAGGATGGTTGGTACACCTAATAAGAATATATTTATGTGTTTCACTTCTCTGCCTTGCGTATAAATCCTTTGTTAAAAAAGATCATGGCATTTATAATTTAAGGCTTAGGTTTTGGTACTAACATCCTGATGAGGACTCTTACAAACAGTTCATATAATGGAAGATATAACGGTGCTGAATACTATTCAACAAACAGCTTTAGTCCACCGAATGGAAGTAAAACATCTGATTCCTCTGCTAATGAAATACAAAAGATGCCTATGAAAAATAGGTTAAAACTTCTCGTTCGAGACTATGGAATTACAGTTCTAATATTTCACACTGGCATTTCATTGATATCTCTTGGTATCTGTTACGTAGGAGTCTCTAGGTTGGTTCCATAGTCAATCTTATTAGCCAGTAACACACAAATGAATGTGTGAGTGTGTGTAAATTCATCCTTGCTTTCAACTCTTATGATTATATTATTAACAATGAGTCGTATATTCATGATAGAGAATGAACTTTATATATATAAATGATGAGAATTATTAGAAATATCTCATAATCGTGATTTATTTTTCATTTTCAGTGGTGTAGACATGACAGTCGTCGCAAAAACTCTAGGCTTCCAAGGGAATGCTAACATTGAAAGTGCCTTGAAGAACACCTCAACATTTTTAGTGGCCTATTCTATTCACAAACTTCTCGTACCGCTACGATTTTCATTGACACTGGCATGCACGCCAGTAATAGTTAGATATCTTCGTAACAAGAAACTTTTACCACTTCCCAAGCGTTGATGATATATGAAATTAATTGTGGCATGAAGTTTCATTTACACATAAGTGTGTCTTGCCGTTAATAATACATAGATACGTATGTGTGTGCGTCCCTTTATAATAAACGCTCAGCTAAAACCTGTCAGGTGTAGGGGAATGTATATAAATACAACTGCAAATAACTATCATTGATAATGAAAGAGAAATTAAAAATTATTAAAACAAATGACAACTCAAACTCGGTGTAATTTACCGTAATACAGCAGTCACTTGATATTGACCTCTCTCTAGTATAATAAGGTGAGATATAAAAGATGCGCTTTAGATACAATCATGTATTAACCCAATAGGAAAAAATCATTATTAAAAGACGACAATTAACGCAATCGCAGCAGTTGCAATAAATGCTTTGTACGTGAGTAATAAAAATTAAATCATCACAATACAGGTTATTCGCGATACGTTGCTAAAATTGTGCTTGATTCAGTTTGAATGCGAGCAGCTAACAAAAAAAAAAACACGAAAACCAATTTGCAATTATTCAAGGATTACAGATGGATCGCGTATGAATATTTCGTTTATTATATAAAGAATATAATGCCTATAATAATTTGACACAATGTTACGTAGTAGCACGAACGGCATTTCGCGTGTGCGACAACAGAAAACACGCACAGTTTATTATTTTCTTTCTTCACATATATCGATTCACAAGTACAATGTGAGGTCTGGAGGACTCTTTTATATTGAAAATTATAGGAAGGTGAGCCCATTGAGATACATTTTACTTGTGCAAAGACAATATTTATAGAGAGTATCTTTAGACTGCACTCTGAAATTCGCTGTTACCGCTGAAAACGTATTGTCATATCTCTACGTAACTGTATGCACTTCATAGTGGCACATCAAGAGTTTCTCAGCATGGGACAGCGAATCGTCGAATGCGCCTGTAGCAAGCGCTCTACAAGACGTACACGACACACAAAAGCTCGACAGTTTTCAAATGGACGAATTTATCGGTAGTCTTAAGAACGATTATACTTACATCTAATACAAAAGTTTTAATTATTGAATATAGTGCATCCTTGCTTCCTCCCTCTCTCTCTGTCTCTTTCGTTTTTTTTCCAATGCGCTTTAGAGTGGTTTAGTTCAATGATTATCCCGTTTACGCGAGACATACACATTCACAGAGAAAGAGAGAGAGAGAGAGAGAGAGAGAGAGAGAGAAAGAGACTACTAAACACACTTGGGTTCAGCTGCACCGATTTTACTTAAAATTTAAAGCCCGCTTGAACTTTTGGAAAAAAGTGATAGGCGGTTAATGGTATTATTGGTAATTATCATCTAAAGTCTTATTACTGGTCTTTATTTTATATAAGATAGTTACGACGGTCCGTCGCCCAACATATAACAAATATCTTTCACGTACTCGCACCGATATTCTCGATAGGAAAAAAATCAGTTCGTATTGCGCACGCTGATACAACTGCAACGACAGTCGCTTATTGCATAGTCTAATCGCCATTTAAGAGCTGGGGTTGTGTTGAATTCGCACTCCGTGGATCAATCACTGGTTTGATCGATCGGCCACAGGCTTCCAAGAGATTACATCAGGCTCTGACGTACACGTATTTACACGAGTATTTAAAAATATATTATAATACATTATTAAACTAAAGCTATATTTATATACAATTTAGTCTAGGTTATCGTAGCAGAGATTCGTGTCTAGACATTTTTTCTGTTAATTAAAAAGGAGATTCTTAGAAATATGAACGATTCTGAACGTCAAAAGTCGACGAAAAAGTAATATAAAAAAAAGTCTAAGAAGAGATATGTATCAAAAAGTTCTCAAGTTAGATGCGTGTCTATGATGGAATGGCTATAAACTGTGAGTATTAAACGTCAAAACGTATATGTGTGAATAAATGGTGTGGACATATATGCATAAATTAAGAATTGTCAAAGCGAATAAAGCGAATTCTTTCAATCTCTAATGTTAATTTGTAAGAAAATGCGGGCACATAGCATCACCAGTCACGTGTAACGCGTTTCTTTTGATCGTTGAGGTTATAATAAATAAATAAAAAAAAAAGAGAATAAAATATGTTACTCGCTTGCTAGATAAAATAGTTTCGGAGAAAATGAAGCAGATATAAATTTGCCAATGATGGGCTATACTTCCGAACAGAGTTTCTCCTCCACTATAGATCAATGAGAAGACAGGCCATACCACAATTGCGTGCTTGGTACGTGTAATCGAGGTTATAGAAGAAATGCTTGGACCTTTCTCTTTCTTGGCAGTGCCGATCCATTGTCACGACGTTTCATTTTTTTATTCTCCTTTGGCAGTGTTGAACGATTAATGTAACATCGTTATCATATTCTTTGTTTTCTGTTCGTTTCCTCAAAATAATTTATTATCCGTGTTGCCGTTTCAGTTGCTATTACGAAGAAAATGCTGTATCCCGTATATCATCCTTTGGAATTGATAAATGGACGAGAAGACTCGAATGTAGGATCTCAGCGTGTTGCCACATGTAAGGATATCAGAGCGCGCGCCGTCTAGCAAATTCTTTACGAAATCGCTTATTACACGTACGCCTGTACACGACGACCCTGTACGTGATTGAAAAATTGCCGCCAACTGGTTAACGTCTTGCTAGACCAAACCCAGAAGCTGCTGGTGATGCCAACGATCATGGCCATCAAATACTTGATCATGAAGACCTCAAACTCAGGACGCCGACCGAGATCGCGCGTACGCTCGCCTATGGGACAGGGTATCGAATAAAGAGATTGGGGTCCAGGTCGGGAGCACATTTCCATGTTCCAGGTGAGCATCCAGTGATCGAAGTATGCCTGCTCGTAAAAGAGACAGGCGATCACAATCAGGGCGGGTACTGTGTACAGCACGGAGAAGATGCCAATGCGAATCATTAACTTTTCAAGCTTATCCGTCTTCGTACCGTCGTGCTTCATCACGGTCCGGATGCGAAACAGGGAAACAAAGCCAGCTAGGAGGAACGCTGTACCTAGTACGAGATAGACGCAGAGAGGCGCCAGTACGAAACCACGAAGTGCTTCCACATTCCAGAGACCAACGTAGCAGACTCCTGAGAGAATATCGCCTGAAATGATTTTTCAATGATGTAATCATTAAGTAATTGTTATAACATCATATTAAAATGCATGATTCCATGACCAACCTTCCACCTTTCCCATTGCCAGAATAGTCATGGTTTTGATGGCCGGTGCTGCCCACGCGGCTAAGTGAAAATACTGAGAATTTGCCTCTATTGCCTCGTGACCCCATTTTAGTCCAGCAGCAAGGAACCATGTAAGGGTGAGTACGACCCACCATATACTGGAAGCCATGCCAAAGAAATATAAGACCATAAAGAGTACGGTGCACAATTCATGCTTGGTGCCTTGTGTAATGATTGATGCCGTCTGGATTCTCATTTCCATATGTGGTAAAAATGGATCTCTGCATGATATCGAGTTTCCTGCAGCCCACCCAATCACATAAACCAGTGCCACCATTAAATAGCACACTGATAAGAAAATTATTGGCCTCTCTGGATATCTGAAAGTAGCAAGAATATTGAATATGCATAAAATGACATCCACAGTTAAAATAACACTCAATATTTTTACTGTACCTAAATCTGTCTGTGTCAATGAGAAAGGTAAGAACTGTAAAGAAACAAGAAGCTGCACACACTGAAGCCCAAGTACCAACCCAAATTCTTGAGAATCTGCGTTCTCTTTCTGTGAAGAACATGCCATCACACGGAGCACCACAATCGGGTTCTACTTTATCCCCAACTTTAAGGGAATAGCTAAGGTTATGCGGAACCTGGAACTGTATAGGACAGACAAATCCATAGTCGCGTGCATCAGGCATATATCCTCCTCCATATGGCTTGGGACCTCCGTTCCATGGTGTTTGAAATTCAGCAATAGGCATTCGTGGTGGTGGTTCGGCCAGAGCAGGAGTTTCAGAAGGAGCAGTATCATTGTTCCCCACACAAAGTTTCTCACCAAATCTTGGAAACTTTGAGCACTCTAAACTCTGTGGCCAAGGAAATCCGAAACTGCTCATAAGAGATTCACAGCCAGCACGAGCACTCTCGCAGAGTGATCTGCAAGGTGGCAATGCCTCTTCCAGAATTGTACAAACAGGTGCATACATGGTGCAAAGGAAAAATCGCAAATCTAGACTGCACTTCATCTTAACAAGGGGTGCAAAATGATGAACTGCTAAGCCGGCGTCTTCCTGCTTCTGATGGCTCATCAAATTGGGCATGATAGTCTGATTGTACGGTATATTCATGCACAAATTGATCGTAATGGGCTCGCATCGTCCGTGGGGTGCAAGAGGATTTTTCGAGTGCAGAGCGCTAATCGGCGTGGCGCACAATGCCCACAGGTAGACGGAGACGGAAAGGGACAACGCCAACGCCATCGACATCGACATCTTGGCGGCGACCGTGTTCCCTGTGCTTTTCAGCCAATGCACATAAAAGTTATCACGTCGATTGCACCACGCTTTTTCGGCACATCACACGAAAACTCGGACTCTACGAACTCCCTCTGTTTTGCGCATAGTTTGCAGTTAGATAGTACAAATATACAAAGAAGAATGAACTTCGACCGAATCGTCAAATGCCAAAAACTGTAAACATATCACGAAGAATCACGAAGCACGACTCGGCAGCCATCAGCAACTCCACCAAACTTATAGTAAAGGAGAGTCCACACGCGTCCCCACGAAAGCGCCACCAAGCGAACGATACGCACGTCACAGCACAGGAATAACAGAAATCAGATGACTGCCAGGCTGATTATGAGCAGGACGCTGGCACACGCGACAGCACACGCATAATACAATTGTGATTATGTGCATGCGTAACCGTTTTTCAAAATTGGTTACGTTCCGAGGGATTCGTCGCAATCTCCACCCACCGAGAACACGTTGGTAAAGAGAGTCACCCCGTGCATTCTTTGTCTTAACGAAAGTGCATTGCATTTCAACCCCCTCCATAATTTCTATGCTGGTTCCAGTATATCGCCTGATATTTCCCATGCCCGCTGTGCCTAGGAATCGTTAGAGGCAACGTTCAAAGGCCGTAAACAGTGGGCCGTAATTTCGAAAAACGCAATTGTTCAGGGGCCCGATTAAGAGCTGACGAACCCGGATATCTTCGCAGTACGCAGCAAACCAGGATAAATGGATGAATCAGGTTATAATGCATGAATCATTAGAAATTGAAATGGCACACAGGTTCATTAAGTTTCACTGAACGCAGCGGAGGTTCGCTTATGGGCACTGTGGAACTGCAGCACCCCCTATTTCCACTTAATATTATCGATAACTGCTAAACATTTTCTGGAGCAGCACCTCCACTAATTTTAGCTACAAGCCGCCACTGACTAATGAAGAATAATGTAGATAAAACCATCTTTGTTCATCTCCGTACTATATGACGCTTCCTGGGAAATCGGTAAAACGAATAGTTCACAACAATGGATGCGGGAAACGGGAGAAAAAGTATATATATATATATCACTTTCAAAGAATTAATCATATGTCGACTAGCTGATTTTGATTTTATTTTCTTTTTTTCCGATATAATGTACAGTAGGTTTTTTGATGATCTATGCCGCGCGTAGGATCGATGCCTAGTTGGGCGGCAAACAACGCACGCAACGTTCATGTGCATCATGCATGCTTGTCGCTTTTCTCCACGTTGTTCCTAGAATGGTGTGTGTGTGTGTGTGTGTGTGTGTGTGTGTGTGTGTGTGTGTGTGTGTGTGTGTGTGTGTGTGTGTGTGTGTGTGTGTGTGTGTGTGTGTGTGTGTGTGTGTGTGTGTGTGTGTGTGTGTGTGTGTGTGTGTGTGTGTGTGTGTGTGTGTGTGTGTGTGTGTGTGTGTGTGTGTGTGTGTGTGTGTGTGTGTGTGTGTGTGTGTGTGTGTGTGTGTGTGTGTGTGTGTGTGTGTGTGTGTGTGTGTGTGTGTGTGTGTGTGTGTGTGTGTGTGTGTGTGTGTGTGTGTGTGCTTCGTGCCAGGCGAAGATATCGGAATGTTGACACGGTCGGCGTATTGGCCATTATTGTAAATAAATAAATAATTTATTTCCTTGAAGTTACTCTCAATTCGAACCATCGTGTTCGACGAGTGAGTTCAGCCTTTCGTTCTTACAATTAGTAACAATTAAAAATTTAATATGGAAGATTGAAACACATCGAGCTGGCCACCAACCCCTTGGATTATCAGTGAATCGCGTTGACAAACGTGATGAGAATGTTCTCGATTAGTCAGTCGACTGATCAATCCCGTTGAATGGAAGGAAGGGATAACTGCGAAAAGAATCGGACAAAAAGCGGCCAGTTCGATTCGAAGGAGGTAGCTGGTATGCTGGTATGCTGGTATACAGGTATGCAGGCATGAACGTATACGTATAGGTACGTACGTATGTACACATAGTAATATAAGCATAAGTTTAACGATATCGATAATGGAAGAGAGTAGCGCGACCGCATCGAAGACGGTGCACACTTTAATGAAAAAATATTTGGAACGCGGATTTGCGTTTACGCGCGCACGAGACTTGCTGTTCGCCGCTTGCAGCTTTTACTCGCAGCTGGGCAGCTCTCTCGTGACTCTCGAGGACGCAAATCTCCGAAAATGCACGATGATCAAGCTGTTGGAGCTGTTGGAGCTGATGGAGCTAGTGAAGCTCTGCTGCCTCCAGGCGCTCGATCGTCGCATAACGTTTGAGCAACGACGCGAGCTAAATTCTGCCAAAGGACACAATTAAAATATATTTTTGAAACATTGGATTAATGGACTGATCGTTTTCCGCTTTATATTCCGCGAGATAATTAATAGTTAATAGATTTCACTTTATTCTTTCGTCTCTCTTCACCTCGCTTTCTATATAGGTCGTCTATCTATGCGCACTTACAATTAGCTGTCCTACGTCGATCTAACCTGCCTATCTAAAAGAAGACGCGTCCCTTTTTATTCTCGTTCGTCGGCATCTCGGTGGTCGACCTTCTTCTTTCTATTTTTTTTTTTTTCTATTCAGCCTCTTTTGGGATCGTATAAACACGTAAGGGCGTCGCGGCGACTAAACGTATAAGCAGAAATTCGCGCTCTTTATCTTTTCTGCTCTTCCCTTGCGACGAAGAGGATGCAATGGGTGCTCGTGACTAAAGACGAAGGAGAATAAAAGATGAAGGGAATGGAAAAGAAAAAAAAACGAAAGGCTAAGAATGACACGATCAAAGAATCATTTGGCAGATTAAGGAATTCTTGTATCCTTGAGCAAACTGTCCCGGGAGGTACGAGACGTCATTACGTAAAGCATTTTCCAGATTCGCCAGCCGATCGGGAGTCTCGCTAGTCGTCGCGACGCCCCGTGACAAACCCTAAGATTTTGATTTGGCACTGAACGGGAGCGGGAGAATTCCTATCTGGACACTGGTGCAGCCTCGCCCTTCTTATCTATTGTATAACGGGGATCTATAACGGGGCGGGTGTCTCTCGTCCTCGACAGCCGAGCACAGCCGAGCACAGCCGAGCACAGCTGGGGACTTTTGTCTGGAGCTAAAGAACTTTCGTCGAATGATTAATCAATCGCGCTTGTGTAAATACATAAATTTCTACAATGGCAGATCGCACTCGCCCCCTGGCTGGAAGAACCTCTTATACACTCTAATCAATTTCTTTGGCACTGATTCGACTCGAAGCCCCGCTTTAAGCGCTGCGCAGCAGCCGCCCTACGTCTGGACCGCCGTTAATTGTCTCTCGATGTCTCAAAATAATGGAACATAAAAAAATATACCGATCACAATTCTTTCCAAGCAACGTACACAAATCTTTGGATTAATGTACAGAAGTCTATCGAGCATCGAGACAGTACGATATAATTTCTCATTATTCCTTATTAATAATTAAATGATTATTTATCTAAATATAATCGAGCTCGCATCTCCGGAGTTGTTGTTGGGCAGAGTAGACACCCGCCCTGATGTACAGCGTCCTGCGTACAGGAAGCTGTCCTTGATCATTGCTGTCCTTCTTTTTTTTTTTATTGGATCGACGGCATGGCGACTAATCGCTATCCTTCATATTAGTCCTACGTAGTTATGCTTGGCCGACACGTATAACCAGACCGAAGAATAACATTATTTCGGAACTTTGTACCACTTGCTTTCTTCTTTTTCTTTTCTTCTCGTATTTCTTCCTGTAGTAGACTTCCTACTCCTTGTAGTAGCAGGGGGGTCGCAGGAAGATTGGAGCGCGTGGATGCGTATAGCGCGACACCGGATGCGACGGATGCGCGCGGCGAACCACTTAACCACCCTCAAGCCAACCAAAGTCACACGACGTCACTTCCAGTCTGACCTGATGACGACGATCCCCATTCTCTCTCTCTCTCTCTCTCTCTCTCTCTCTCTCTCTCTCTCTCTCTCCCTCAAGTTTCTCACCGACGTATCTTGGACGTGTCGTAGATAGAGCGTGTGTTACTGCAGAATTGCGTCCAGCCTTTGGCCAAGAATGGCCAGCCTTAATCTTAGCTATTCATGACGGTCGACCTCCTGGAGTATCCTCTCCTCGTGACCGTCTCACCCTGGGCCTCGCACTCTCTCTTGACTCTGTCGATAATATCGGCTACCAGCTTCTCTTCCTTCTCGCGTTGCTGTTCCCAGTCGGGTCCCTTGCCAATCTGAAAGACGATCGATCGACGAAATGTTAATCAGCTGATCCGCAATTAAGAAGATATATCATAATATTACTAACATGATTATTATTTCGGAAAAGGCATTATTATACGGGTATGGTGTACTAACGTCGGACGCTCTTCGAGCCTTCTTATTGGCAGGCTCCTCTCGATTTTCGTCGTTCTCGTTATCGGAGTGCCGGGAGCTGAGATGTCCAATGTAACCCTTCCTCGATTTGAAGTAGGCATTGCAGCTGTGGCACTTGAAGAGTGGCGCAGGCTGGCTGACCTGGGTCGACACGTGGAGCTTGTACTTGTGCCTGTACCAACGGGTTCGCGACGGTAGGACCTCGCCGCACCACTTGCAGACTACGGAACCGTCGTTCTGAATCAGGTATTCCAGCAGCTTGTAAAACAAGGTAGCAAGGTTTTTTCTCGCTCTCTCCGTCGAATAACTTTTTTTTTCTCTTTTCCTTCTTCTTCGAGATTACCAAAATGATAAGGAATCAGTTGGTAATTGTCAATGACAGCTGGGAATTCTCTCTAGCGAACACTGGGGATGCGATACATCGTGTCATCTTTTAATGTTTTCACGGAAAGGGGAGATGGAAGAAGATACGGAGAGAGATGTCCGAGTGACAGAATTAATAAGGAGAGCTGGAAGTATCTTCGCTGGCGACTGACCTGCTTTCTGACCTCCGGCTCGGTGTCGCCGGACTCGGACTTTGGTAGAAGCAGATCCGCGCGTTCCTCTTCGCGATCCGTCAGAAAATGCATCCCGCTTACGAGGCTCTCGGTCTTCGCGAACGTACCTCCTGCGCCTCCTCCGCCACCTCCTTCTTCTCCTTCGTCTCCTTCGTCTCCTCCCTCTCCTCCGTCCCCAGCTTCTCCTCCACCAGTGTCCGAGAAGACTTCCCTAACAGGTGGCGTGGTGCAGATCTCGAAGGTGATGTCACTCGGTAGATTCGGTAGATTCGGCAGATTCGGTACAAGATCTGAAAGCGAATCAAGGAGGAAATATTGAGAGCGACATGTTGGACGTGGTAGCGCCGGTAAGGGCAGCAGACGATATGATATTGACGCGACATATTGTGTTATATTGGCTAGACGTAAAGAATTTTGCATTAATACGTGTAATTATCGTAAAGTTCACGGTAATCACGGGACATCATGGTATTTCATAATATATTATCTGTACAGGGTGTCCCATTTAACTCTGCCTCTGGAGGGGGTTATTGGCTATAGGCGAGTTATTGGCTATAAGGATCTCGACCAATCAGAGTGATTAGTCGATTAGTTGTCAAATTTGACTATTGTCAATTGACTGCTTTAAAGCAGTCTGTCCTGGGACACCAATCTGAGTGTCTCGGGCTACCTCGCGCTTCCGTGCTATTTGTTGATAGTTTTTCTTTTGCTGTGTTTCCTATACGCTATAGAAAGTTATAGTTTGCGTAGTTTTCGCGTTCTCTCGCTATAAACAGAAAGTCCGATAAATTTTCTGAGTGTGTTTCGGAAGTGCAGTGCTGTGCGATAATGCAGTGCCCACCCGAGTGTCCCCTGGATACAGTTCTTGACCTTCGCGGATCAGCTGAACCAGCTCCGGTGAGTAGATACATTCCCAATTTATTAATTGGTGGAGGAATTTCGATTTTATGGCTCCGATTCGCGCTGCTACGTTTTCGATCATTTGCTCTCTGTATTCCGCACTACTTATCTGACGCTTCCTACTCCGAGGCTCTCTGCCTCAACCAGAGCAACCTTACGTAACCGTTCGCTCCCGTTCGCGCATCCAGTTGCGTTCGCTGATTGCGACCCGCGAGC